TGCAGTCTTTAAACCCAAGTCTATACTTGTCTTGTTTGTAAACAGTAGAATGTTGGACATTGTTTTGAAATCTATTCAATCACTCTACATCTTTTGACTGGTGAGTTTAGGCTTTTTACATTTAAGATTATTATTGCAACATAAGTGCTCATTGACATTTTGTTATATTTTGTTTTGGTTGTCTTGTCTTTTTAACTCTTCTGTCATGCTCTGAAGCTCCAATGATTCAGGACCTCTTTTAGTTAGTTTTTTTTTTCCTTTGGCATTTGTGAGTGCCAGAGTTGTATGGTGGGGATCCACACAGTGATCCCCTCTTCCAAGCCAGCTTCTCAGTCTCAGTGCCTCTTACAGTCATGTCCATATCCACTGTAGGCTATTTTTAAGCAATAGATGCAGAGCTGAGCACAGATTGTAGTTGATATTGGAGGTCACAGGCAAGTAGTTGTTCTCATTCCTCTCCATCACAGAGTCTTATCCTGGGGTGTCTGCTTCAGCTGTAGGTAGGTGAGCAAGCTCTAGTTTAAGTATTTCTTCGTGGGAATAGTAGGTGTTTTGGATATCTCAGCCTGGGCTTTCTATAGGGAAAGCCCTCTTCTAGAGGGAAGTCCAGGTGTTCTGACACAATTCAGGCCACAGCTGTTGTGTTACAAATCTCAAATTCAAGCTCGTAATCCTGTCTCTGTGGCCCCACCTATGCAGTTCTCCAACGATGTACCCTATATCCTGGGTACCTGCTTGTGCACCCTGTTATCCAGTGAAGGACCAGGTCTTAAGAACTCCAAAGTTGGGCCTCCCTGGTGGTGGAAGGGGTTAAGCACAGCACTGTGAAGCTGTCTGTAGCCTCTTCAGCATGAGTTCGATCCCCGGCCAGGTAGCTACCCACATGGCGCAGCAGACCTCTCCTGTCTCGCCCTGCTGTTCCCCTCAGCAGTGTATTTCAGTCAGTCTGCCTGTTCTGCTCCCCGCTCTGTCTCTGGTGAATCCTCTCACCCCCTGCACCTCTGGCCTGTACCCCAGTTCTTGTATGCATAAATAAATAAATCCTTTAAAAAATAAAAATAAATAAAAATGAACCCCAATGTTGCCATGTGCCAGAGTCAATAGCTATAGGGGGCTCTGAATAGCACCCACTTCCCCCTTGTGTGGATTGTAATGACCTGTTATCACGCTAAACAAGTTCACTTAAAGTTTTTCCTATAGCTTTCTACCTACTGATGCTCTAGTGTGAGCTGTGATCTTCAGTTCTCCCCTCACGTCTTTTTGGCTTTGTTTTATAAAAATTGTGTTGTGAGTATCTGGAGGAGGCCAGCCCAGGGTTTTCATTCTGCTGCCATCCTGCCAGATTTCCGGGGCTACATTGCTACTCCTCCATATGTGCACCAGCTTCACTTGCCCACCACCACACCTCCTGTGCCAGTGCCTTATTCTCTTCCTTCTCCCACCATGCCCTTCCTACCCGCTTTTCCCTCTGGTAACCAGTATATTTTTCACTACATCTAAGATTTCTTTGTCAGTTTATGGGTTTGTTGTTGTTGTTGTTATTTATATTCCAAAGATACACGAAGCCATCTGATATCTGTCACCTTCTGACTTAATTCACTTAACATAATGACCTCAAGCTTCACCCATTTGGTTCCAGAAGGCACTGTTTCATTTTTTTAATAGCTGAGTAGTAGTCCATTGAGTATATGTTGCACAATTTCTTTGTCCAGTTGTCTGTCAATGGGCACTTAGGTTGGTTTTATGAGTTGGCATTTGTGGATAGTGCTGCTCTATTCGACTACTTCCAGCAAGTCAAGCTCTCCCCAGAGTCAGATCATCCTCCAGGAGAGCTGATATACTGAAGTTTCTAAGGTAGCTTGGCTGAGGTCAAAATGGCAGTGGGTAAATGCAGTTCTTCAGAAAAGCCACCTTAAGGCAATTTCCTTTGCATACTTGCTTCCTGCCCTGCTTCTCCTGAGGTCACCTATGGGTAGCCACTATGTATGAAACCTTTCTTGAGAGAAATATTAGTAAATGTCTTATCAAGGAAGGCAATGATGAGACAAGAGAGAATATTTTTACCCTTACCCAAGAAGATTGTTATTCCCTGAACAGGTAAAACACCCGACTAGGGAAAAATACTTATGATTCTCTTAGATAGGGCTGGCCTATTGAACCAGGGGAGGAAAGTAGAATGCATTTATTAATTCCTAGAAACTCTGTGGGTTTGTGTGCATCTTTCGCATCTTAAAGACTCACAGATCCTGAGCTGGACAGAGGTCTCATTCCTGAAAAAATCTCTCCAGAATCCAGGTTGCTTAATTAACCTGCTGCTTAGACAGATTCCAAAACACCTCGTGACAATGAGGAACTGGATTATTAACCACTGCCTCTCAGTTTTTGTTCTGGTAAGTTATGTTTCACTTCCTGTTAATTACTTTTAACACAGTAAAGAGATTTTATGTTTGTTAATACTCACAAAGTTACTTGAAGGGAAAGATTCCATGCCAATATTGGACTCATCAAAGCCAGTTATCAGTTAAAAATTCCAACTTCAAGATTATTTATATAATTTTTACATAGTCTTCTGTGTGTGATATTTGTTACCATCTTAGAAAAGGGAAAAAACTCCAACTCTAGAAATTGTTTGATAAAAGGAACAAATAACATAAACCATAATTTGAGATTTCTATTTTCATTTTTTCTTTCTCTTATTCTCTTCCATCTTACTTCTAGCTAGCGCCACAGAGCATTGATTTATCCTCATTCTTCCTTATACTGCTCACATCAAGATTTCATATTTATTGAGATGTGAATCTATACTCTTGAAACTTATACAATATTATAAACGAATTTTCTTCAATAAAAATTTCATAGAAATCATGATTGTTTAATATAGACACGATTTTTGAAATCATAAGCCAGCAGTATCCATTAGAAATACAATCAGTCAAAAGGGAGGGTGTTTAGGAGGAAAAAATTATAATGTGAGTCACATCTGTAATTTTTAAAATTCTAATACCTACATTGAGAAGGTTAAAAAAAAGAGAGATTAATGTCTAGTAGTAAATTTTGTCTAACCCAATACATGAAAAATGTTATCCTTTCAGCATGCAAGAAATATTAAAAATACTAATGAGATAACTTACATTCTTCTATTGTACTAAATATTTGAAATTCAGTTTGTATTTTACACTTACAGCACATCTCAATTAGGGCTAACCACATTTCAAGTGCCCTGTAACCACATGTGGGGGATTGCTATGGCATTGTGTAGTGCAGACAGAGACCAGCTCCTGGCTTTTACAAGGGAAAATGAGAAGCAGATGTCACACTGTCACACAGTGAACTGACTGCAGAGCCATCACTCAAACCCAGCTTCCCGGGTTCAGGTCAGAACTCCTTTGCCATAGCACTTAGACACAACCCCCTTCTCTAAACCCACAGCTTCATTCTTTCATTTCTGAACCCACCCCACCCCTAACATACACCCCCATACCCCCGCCCCCACAAGCAGATGTACTGAAATACACTGCTGAGGGGAGCAGCGGGCTAGACAAGACTAGGTCTGCTGTGCTATGTGGGTTGCTGCCTGGCTGCCCAGGGATCGAACTTGAACTGGTGCTACTGTGGCTAGGGATAGCTTGAAAGCGCTGTCCTTAAGCCCTGTGCCACCAGGGAGGCCCCATTTGCATTTTTTACCTTTGTCTTACTTTTTGCTTGGAAAGTTTATCACCCATAACTCACATTTAACTATCTGGCTTTGAATTTCCATCCTCCACCAATCTTGCTGGGAGGCTCAGACTTCGTGCTGTCTCTGACATATACTTCTATGCATGATGTATTTTTAACAAAAAAATAAATTACTCAGAAAATGTTTTTACCCTTCCTTCCTGTGAGGTCTTGTACTATCTTTTCTTTTTCCACTTATGGTGGAGGAAATGATAGTCAAGGTGGAAAATCCTCGCAGATGACACTGTATTTCATCATTCACTTTGATGGTGGACTAATAGAATTCTTTGTTTCTGTGTCCATCTCAGATCCTGAAATATTTCTGCTCCCTCTAAATAAGTTTCTCTCCTTTGTCTTCTCCTTTGTCTTATGAACTCTTGAGATGTTTAAGGATCTTACCTTTCTTTTCCCACTAGGGTCAAAGAATCTCTGGAAGATACTCAATGCTGGAATGTGTGTCTGAGCAAAAGATACAGGAAGAAATTGAGAGGTAAAATCAGTTTGGAAATATAACTGTAGCCAGCAGCCAGCCAGAGCTCCTACTTTGCACCAAACATTGTATTAATCACTTCACATCATTATTTCATGTTGTGAGATAGCACTGCTGTGAGATAGTATTATTACCCTCATTTTAGAAAAGGGAAAAAACTCCAACTCTAGAAATTGATTGATTAAAATAAATTGATTGGTTAGTGTTATTTTTCTCATTTTACAAATGAAGAATTGGTGTTCAGAGAAGTTAAGATTATAGAACTAGAAGTGATGGAGCTAGAATTTGAGCCCTCTAGAGGATAACTTGCCCCCATAGGTACTTATGTGCAAAGTTTTCTTTACTTTTATTTATTTATTTATTTATTTATTTATTTATTTATTTTTGTGGGACCCTCGCCAGTGGCCGGGGATTGAACTGACGCTGCAGAGGCTGCAGGCAGCCTCACAACCCAGCGCTCAACCACTGCGCCACCAGGGGAGGCCCCTTTATTTACTTTTAAATTATTGAATTGCAATTGCTTTGGCCTAACAACTACTGAGCAACATTTCATTTCTAATATTTCTGGCCTCACGGCAGTGGAGCAACATTTTGTCCCAGTGGAACCAGATCTTGGACCCTTGGTTGTGTACCTTGTCCATTGTGAGGACTAACTTGGCTGGGACCTTAAAATATTTAACATGGAGGGGAGGGTATGTTTCTGTTTTATCACCAACAGGACTGCTTTGGGTTCCAACAAAAAAGGACCAGTCTTATTCCAGAGCTCCAGCCATTAGCGATCCAGTTGCCACCCAGGATGCCACCTATGCGGGTCGAAAGGAGAAAGGAGGATCCCTTCCCAGTGACTGTGCAGTCCTCCACGACATTAGATCCAGACTTGATGTCCTTGAGGCTGCTGTATGCTGACTTGGTGAATATCAACAAGCCCTCTGGACACCACAGACTCAGTTGTGGTTTGTGATACCATTCTATGTAACTCCTATTCCTTTTGGTACAACCTCTCCCGAAGATACGTTCAAAGACAACTTGATGGTACATTCCATAGTAACCTTGGACTCGATGTCATAGACTTTGGAGACAGACTACAGCAACAATTGACACGATTGCAGCAGAAAGCACAAAATGCCACATTGGCACATTTAAATGACATTGCCTGTTGGCTGAATCCAACAAAACTGGTTCTCAGGACGCAATGTTGGAGTTTGGATTTTGTTTGGTATAGGTTTATTGTTTTTGTTAATTTTTTCTTGTCATTTTAAAAGCCCTGTGCTGCCTGTTGCAGAAAACTCTTTGTGTTAAAGCTAGGCTGATATCCCTGTAAGAGGAGGCCACCCTATTATTCATTACACTAAACCTTGTTTTTGCATATCTGTTACTCTGCATAATCCTACACAAAAGCAAATGAAGAAGCCCAGTGGGAGTGGAAACAAGTGAATGCCACCCCACTACCATATTCACTGTCAAGGCTGCATTAAAAAACAAAAAGGGGGAGATGTTGGAGACCCCCTAAGGCATGAAGTACTGAGACAAAGAGAATGTCAAGGTCATGACTGGAAGACTGGTCAACATGGGCTGGAAGACTAGCCTGTTTCTAGACCACGACGTCCTTTATTGTGTCAGCAAAGCTATGCCTGAGAATCAGTCAAGAATAGAAAGGGAGTAGAATATACCTGATAACACAGAACCTTGGTCGTGAATGTGTGCCTAGACAAGGCTGAATACTAAGAGAATGGTTCGTTGTCTAATAACTAACAAAGAGTGGAAGGTGACAGTTTGTATCAATAAAAATGAGTTGCACTGGAAACTCGGGACACTTGAGCTTGGACTGAGAAGCCTTGTGTCTCCTGGGTTCCGCTTCTTTTAAACTCTATTATATGTCTGTCAATTCTTTATTCCTCGGTTCTTTCAGATTCCTCTCCTCAATCATGTTCACCAGAGCTGGTCTCTGGCAGAGCCCAAGGAGTTTGAGTCCAATAACACAATTCCAATCATTAGGTTATGCTGCTCAAGGTATGTGAGTATTCCAATGTATTAGGCTTAAGGTTCTTTACTCAGGGGCTAGGATGGTTTTGACCCATTCTGGGGTCAGGGTAAATATTAGAGGAATCCCAGTAACTTAGAGTTCTGTTCAGTTACAGATTAGCTCCTCCAAGTTTGGGCAACAAGTGCCCAAGTTGGTTGGTCTCCAAGGCACTGGGCAGTGGGTTCCTTATTTCCACCTTTGCCAATGCAGAGGCAGAGTTGGGACAGACAAAAGCAGTCTGAAGAGCTCAAATGAGTCCAAAGCAATGATAGGTTAATTTGCAAAGAGACTCACAATCTAAAAACAGGAAAATGTGTGTGCTAGGGTGTAATTAAAGAGGCTGGCCCATCTGGAATTGGTTTAGTCCCTTTCAGATGAGTATTGTTACAGATGTTAAATTTATTCTTTGTTTCTTTAGAAATCCATCTATTCACTCATTGCCATCTTTCAGGGGCAACTGTTCAATGTTCCAGTCCAGGAGTTAACAAGGACTAGATAAAAGGCCAGTAAAAAGCCAGCTAATATCTATTTTAGACTTTTCAGGCCATATTGTCTCCATCACAATTAGTCAACTCTTTCATTGTATCAAATAAGTGGGCGAGGCTAATTCCAACAACACTTTATGGACACTGAAATTTGAATTTCATTTAACTTTCACATGTCATGAAGTAGTTTTCTTTTTTTGATTTTTTTCCACCATTCAAATATGTGAAAACCAATCAACCAATGACAACAACAGAACATAAAACCCATTCTTAGCTTGCTGGCTGTATAAAATATGTGGTAAGGCAGATTTGGCCCATGGGTCTTGGCTTGCTGACACTGCTCATTGGCATCTAATGTGTGTCTCAAAGTGCTAAGAAACTCCGAAAGCAAGTTAGATACTAGGGGCATTATACTTAATTAAATTGAAACACACTGGCAGTGCAAGGGGTTAAAACACAACCTATGAAGCTGTCTGCAGCCTCTGCAGCATGAGTTTGATCCCCCAGCTGGCCAGGGAGCAACCTACATGGCGCAGCAGACCTCTCCTGACTCGCCCGCTGCTCCCCTCAGCAGTGTACTTTGGTCAATCTGCCTGTTCTGTTCCCCACTCTGTCTCTGGTAAATCCTTTCACCCCCCCCCCCACACCTCTGGCCTGTACCCCAGCTCTTTTATGCATAAATAAATAAATCTTTTTTAAAAATTGAAAGAGACTAATGCAAAATAGTCAAAATGATGACTCTTTCTTATCCTTTATCTACTCCTCCCCAAATCCAAGCTTTATTCTTTGCTATTTTTTCCTTCTCTAGGTTACTTAGCTGGGACTGATTATTGTCATATTTGTGCGTGCCTTCCTGTCATATGAGAAGGCCGCAAGTACTTCTACACAAGAGAAATCCTGGGGGTGAGTATCATAGTTGTAATTTGGGGATTCTCTTTTTTTCTTATTTCTGACCCCAGGCCCTGGAGGACCAGTGCCTGGATTTCCTCCAGGGGTAGGGTTGCTAGATGAAATAGAGGATTCCCAGTGTAGGGGCAAGAAGACACAGAGCAGTATCTCTATGATTCAAGCAGATGGGTAAAGGAGAGGGTCCTGGAGTCCTCAGTGGCTTTTTGCAGGCTTTTACTAGGATTTACCAGGAACACAGCAGGCAAGGGGTGCCGCCCAGCCCCCAGCAAGCCTTCACTCTCTGGGATCTCTGGCATTCTCTCATGCATGGCCTTGTTCTCTGCTCCTTTTGCTCTGTTGTTCCCCTTTTCCTACATTATAATGTAAATGTAACAACAAATGCTTTTATTTATTTAGCAAGATACACTGAGCACTATACTAAGAATGAAGAATGATAGTGAATAAAACAGTCTTAATGCCTGGTATTTATGAGTTACAGTTGTGGGGGGTGTGTGATAAATTGATGTGCTCTAGCACTGTGAAGCGGGGGCAGTGATGGGTCTGTGATAGGGTAGTTCAGAGATTTGTTCTTCCTGTTGTCTTGCACATCTGGGGCAAAATGTTGACGACAAGTTTGTCCCACAATCTCTAGAAACAACGTGAAGAGCAGAGATGATTTTGTTTGTTTGTTTGTTTGTTTTTTATGTTTTACCTAATCTTTTATTTTGGAAAAATATTTTTAAAGCAATGCTATTGCTCACTATGTAGAAACTTTAATGGAATATTAAGCAACTCCAATTTTGAGACAGTTTTTTTTGAAAGGTGTAGAAACAACCAAATTTATTTAGCAGTTGGTATAGTGATTCTGTGAGTGCTATTACTAAATTTCGTGGGGGTACTTGTTCTTTTTAATTTTATTTAATTTTATATATTTTTACATCATTTTTGCACAGTGATGGTCTCACTCATAGCAGGAATTTAGAAAACCTAAATAAGGGACCAAGAAAAAGACTAATTATAATAAAGTAAAAATCAAAATCAACAAGCAACTATAAACCAGAGACACACTGTGGGGGCAGGGGAAGGGGAAGATGGATTAGGGTCAAAATAAGGAGGATGGGAATTGTGTGGGGAATATAACCAAGATGAAAATGCATACACTCTGCAGGAGCAGATATGATTTTTGACCAGCAGAGAAGATAGAGTTTTCCCAGTGTACATCTCATACATACGTCCACACCCTACTCCAGGTGGCCGCCATCAGGCATGCATTCAGGACCGCAGATCCATCATCAATCCTAATGGTGGGAGGGCAGAAAAGCCTGATACTTTTTTACCTTACCCTACACCCAGTTAAATTTGAATTTCAGAAAAATATGAAATCAGTTTTCTTTGGTAGAAGTACATCTAAATAGTGCATGGGACATAGGGATACTAAAAATATTCTTTTTTTAATCTGAAGTTCGAGTTGAGCTTGGTGCTCTGTATTTTTGTTCAATAAATCTGACAGCCTTGTCTGAGATAATCTTCCCAGAACCAATAATGAAAGCACACAATAAAGATAACAATTAAGCAGTGGTTTTCAAACTGGTTTCCATGGAAAATCAGGTGCTCTTATAGGTGCCCTCTATTTCAAATAAAGCAGCCTTTATGTAATGGACTCATGATTTTAAGAGTCTGATTGAAGAGAAATAGAAAACAACTTGAAAACCATTGCTGTTGACTGATCTCACAGAAAAACATATCACACAAGAGGGGATGCTTTGGTGGGGGTGTGTTGTGGAGGGGGCCATGGCAAAACTCAAGGCTTGCAGAAAGGTGGGGTTAGATCAGACTAACAACAGGATAGAGAAGATTGGAGAAGTGGCAGCTCAAACCCAGAAAAGGAAGGGTGGGGAGGGGTAGGGCACATTGGTGTGGAGGTGAGCAGGAGGCATGGAGGCGAGAATCATTCTTTTACAGACTCATCAAGCTGGTCACTACCTGATTAGAAAAGCCAATTTTTATTCAGTACCAGGTAGGGACTTCAGTTATATCACTTTCTTTTCAAGGGTGTCCTTTCTTTTTTGTAGGAAGGGTTAGCTTTCCATAAAAACCCACCCAATATACATGTTTAAAGACAGCTTGTTCTTTTTAAAAATACTCCTTTTCTCTCCACAATCAAAGGATCCGTGTTGAGATCACAACTAATTTGAATGTTCTGTTCATGGTTTATTTCACCCTGCTGTTTTCCATTTTAGATGTTGGTCCTTGATCTTTCTTTGGAAACTATAACTCTAGAGGCAGTGTTAATTCGTTTTAAAAATAGCTTTTTATTAAGAGAATGATGCAATAAATGTGAGTTGTTATTAAGATCTGAATTGCTTTATGATCAAAAAGTCAGCAGCAGCAAAATGAATCATGCTCATAGCCTGTAGACATTTCATTTTTTAAAAGTCCTCTCTTTTAGAAAAAATGTAATTATAAATAATACTGCTTTCAATGAGATCAAAGTTATATAAGTGTATAAATAAAACGTAAAATTGCCCTCCTGCCCCTCTCCCCTGAGAGAACCACTGTTGCTAGTTTGGGGTGTGTGTGTACAGATACTCAGTGATGTGTGGTCACACACATCAGACCTATACGTTTTGTTTTTGAGGTCGGTACTATTTTTATTTACTGTTTAAATTTCCTGATACAATTTTCTCTTTTGGTGTGCCACTCTGGGAGTTTTTATAAACGTGTATACTAGGACACAGCTTTTGGTTTCAAGCAAAAAAAGGGATCACATTGTAGATGTTGACTGGAAATTGCTTTTTACACTAATGAGTCTCCGCTATCTTTCCCTGAGAGTATGTAACCAGTGATGTGGTGGAACCAGCTCATACCAGCTTACAAAAACAAGCTGTGTGCATTTCTTTCCTACCCTGCATTAAGTGATGTTCAGTGGCATCAAGTTGTTATCTTGAAACCTGCCATCGTGGGAGCATTTACATCATGTAAATTGGCAAATGCTGAAAATCAAGATCCCCCTCCCCTGAAAGCTGGTTATTAAACACTTACCTAGGCTGTACCCTGCATATAGTTGTTCTTATCCTCTTAAGAGCATAACAGTTCATGGCATTTATGTTCCATAATTTGTTTAATCATCCATAGGGTATTTCTTAAATTTGTGCTCCCTCTAGGAAAATCTACAGAGCTATTTGATTCACTATGAAGCAGAGCAAACAAGTAGGAGAGGAAGCAATTTAAATCCATAGCCAATGAGGCATTAATGACAGCGGCAGCTCAATTAGAACATGGGTTCCTATTGAGGTTGAAAAGTGAGCATAAATTGGGATATTTCAATGTGCTGCAATGGGGAAAAAAGATTTGCTTTAAAAAGTGTTCATCCCATACAGATAGCTCCTTCTAGAATACGGAACTGTGATATCACAGTCCTATGTTTACAATTCATTTGTCAGTTTTCATTTTAAGAAACCCCTGTGACTCAAAGAAGCAAACTGTGGAGATCAAGGTGGATGGGGAGGATCTTTGAGATGAGCAGAGAAAATTTACTCAGAAATGGAACAAGCTGTCTCTACCAAAAAACAGTTGGAATGTGACTCAGCAGAGGGAGAAAACACAGGTCATGTGGAAGAGCCAGAAATGGAAAGCAGTACGGCAATTCTTGTTCACTGCACTGCCTCACGTTGCACGCCGCTGTGGAAGTGTAGCCTCGCTTACTGAATGCTGTCATGGTGTCCGGTGCTTGGGTTGTATGGCAAAATAGCTTTTGTGCCAAGAGACTATTAGAAAAAAGCCAAGAAATTGTTAAGTCTTACCCATAGTCTCCCTTTCAGCAATGCATTGACAGTCACACCTGTAAAAAGCTGGCCAGTAAGCTGGCGCTAACCGGCCAGCAAATTTTGATTTTTAGATGAGAAAATTGTATTTACAGAAAAACCCATGAGGATTAACCAAATTTCATCAACATTATTTTGTTAGTAATAATTGACATTACCAAAGTGGTTTAAGATGTCTTATCACTTGTTATATAAGACACATTAAAATGTAAATGTAGTTTTCATGCCATCTTATCCTTTAGTTTTCTTTTATATTCCAATTTGTAGCAAATCTAAAATTAAGGCAGTGTACATGGACTAGATTTGCTTGTAAATTATGCTGCCTTTTACATCAGATATGACGTCAATTTTAAGGCCATCTGCAAATTAAGTGACCTTTCCATTATAATTCCTAAATTCCATTATAATTCCTAAATTTAATTTAATTTGGTGCTTACCAAATGGAACTAGAAATGCATAAGAGAAGCTCATAAGTTTTAAAGGGAAAATATTACACTAACAATATCATAAATGGACCAGGGATTTCCAAAGAAGTTTGCAGACATACATTAAATGTTGTATAATGATTAAGTCTAGAATATTGTTTACATATTGTTTATTGTTTAGACCACACACTCTAAAACCTAGTGAGGGCTACGCTGGTGGTGCAAGGGGTTAAGATACAACCTATGAATCTATCAGCAGCCACTGCAGCACGAGTTCAATCCTCGGCCAGGAAGCTACCCACATGGCACAGAAGACCTCTCCTGTCTCACCCGTTGCTCTCCTCAGCAGTGTATTTCAGTCAATACACCTGTTCTGTTCCCCACTCTGGCTCTGGTGAATCCTCCCACACACCCCACACCTCTGGGCTGTACCCCAGTTCTTGTATGTATAAATAAATAAATCTTAAAAAAAAATTAAAACCTACTGCTGCCATCACTGCTGCTGTGAAATTGTGAGTCCAGATCTTGCAGTCCCAGATATGACAACTCCACTCAGGGAGCAGTTGGACAGAGTTGGTGAGAAGTTGGAATTAGCTACCAGGATGTTGAGCATATTCTGTCCAGACTATGCCTCGTCAAGCTAGTTTCCATGTTAAATGCGTCTTTGAAGCACTGATCTCGTGCTTTCTAGCAGTTTCTACTGCAGTATCATTTTGTTCTTGATGTATGTTGCCAGGCCACCCAAGGAAATATGAAATTCTAGTCTCAGAAGTTCTCCCCTTACAAATCTCTACCAAACTTTAAAAATTATCCCCTGAGGGGTTTACTAGTCTGGCCTAGACTTTATTCAATTATTGAAGACATCAAAAATATAAGTGGTTGGGCCTCCCTGGTGGTGCAAGGGGTTAAGCACCGCACTATGCAGCAATCTGCAGCCACTGCAGCATGAGTTCCATCCCCAGCCGGCCAGGGAGCAACACACATGGTGCTGCAGACCTCTCCTGTCCTGCCTGCTGCTCCCCTCAGCAGTGTATTTCAGTAGATCTGCCTGTTCTGCTCCCCACTCTGTCTGCCTTAAAATATATAAGCTTTACATAAGTGCAAATGATATATATGTGATCTTAAAGATTGTGTTACAAATGACAAACAAAATCATAACTGACTGTATTAAGCAAATATACTTGTTGCAAAATATTACATCCATAGAATGTCTTTGTTAACATGAAATTGAAATAGATTAGGAATTAATAAATTGGTAAATGTATAGTCAACCCTTTCCCAACCGTTGTCATGGAAATTTCTCCTTTTTTTTTTTTTTTTAAGGATTTATTTATTTATTTATACAAGCACTGGGTACAGTCAGAAGCGCGGCAGGGTGAGAGAATTCACCAGAGCCAGAGCGGGGAGCAGAGCAGGCAGAGGGACCGAAGTACACTGCTGAGGGGAGCAGCGGGTGGCAGGAGAGTTCTGCGCGCCATGTGGGACCCTCCTCCGGTGGCCGGGGAGCAGCCGGGAATCAAACCAGCGCTGCAGAGGCTGCGGGCAGCTTCGCAACCCAGTGCTCAACCGCTGCGCCACCGGGGAGGCCCGGAAATTTCTCCTTTCAATATTAAGTTCAGCAAATTTTCTGTTGTTTGCAAACAAGGAGCCTGGCCTGATTGTACTAACTACACCGGGAAGGAAGAGGGGAGGAGGGGGCAGCCCTGCCCTTTTCGAGATCTCAGGTAAGTGGACTAGTCCCAGGCTCACCTGAGAGATGGAGAAATGAAGAGGCTGAAGATCTCTTCTCTGCTCTGCTCCAGTTGGCCTTGGCCTGCACTGGAACCTCTGCTTCTTGTCCAAACTTTAACAGCTGGTCCTGGTTCCAGTGTGATGAAATCTGCCGTCCTTCCTGAGGGAGGCCTGCTCAGTGAGTCCTAACCATTCCTAGGTCAACCTTCACATTAAAGGCAAGGCACTCTTGGCTCCTTAATAAGAGCACTGAAGGGCCTCCCCTGCTGGCGCAGCGGTTGAGCGCTGGGCTGCAAAGCTGCCCACAGCCTCTGCAGCGCCGGTTTGATCCCCGGACGCTGGCGAGGGTCCCACATGGCACGACAGACCTCTCCTGTTGCACCCGCTGCTCCCCTCAGCTGTGTATTTCGTCAGTCTGCCTGTTCTGTTCCCCGCTCTGGCTCTGGTGGATTCTCTCATCCTCCCACGCTTCTAACTGTAGCCAGTGCTTGTATAAATAAAAAAAATAAATCTATTAAAAAAAAATAAGACCACTGAACACCAAGCCCCTGGGAATGAAAGCCAGAGCTCTCCTTTGGTAGCCAAGGGATGGGCAAATGTGGATGGGTGTTGGCAAGGTCTGTGTAAGACATGTTGGATAGTGAATTTCATAAAGCTTCCTGGAGACACCTGACCGTGGTGCCTTTACATTTGTTGTTCAACAAGTTCACACTGAGAAAGCCACTGGATCACAACCTCACCTTCCACCAACTGGAGGCGTACATGATATGCCTACACACAGGTAACTGAGACAAACCATGAAACTGCAGACCCCAACACATCCAGAGTCTAGACTCATTCATCCATGCAGATGGACATTCAAAAAATATTTATTGACTACCTGGCATTATTTGCCAGGCACTATTCCAGGCCTGTTTTCATGTAGCATATTCTATTTTTATGGGAACAGAGTGAGTATAAAGAAGATCTTAGATTTCTCTGCAATGAAGGGTGCATTGGGCACTTTCTGTGGACTTGGCCTTCCACTGCACACCATTGATAGGATTCTCTGATTCTAGTGAGGCATACCTGCCATGATGTTCCTGAAACACCTCTTACAGTCTTTTTAACCCTTCCATTTAGATAGTCACATCATCGCACACTTGTTTAACTTTTAACCATAGAGCAGAAGCCGACAGGTCACAGATGGACCCTTCGCTTTCATTCTCTCCAGCCTATCTCGTGGTGAGATAGAAGGAGATGCTTGGCTAAACCCCATCCCATGCCCAAACACAGTAAGCTGACTTGACGGGATCTGGTCATAAGCACGAAGTGCATGGTGTCCTTGGCAGATGCATGTCAGGTTGACATTTCTCCCTTCACGGGCAGTGGAGCGGGGGACATTCACGAGCACTGCTGGTCTCACTGAGGTGCTCATCACCGTCGCTCTGATTCTCACAGTGACTTCAGCTGTGGAGTTTATCTGGAGCAGTTCTTTTGAGGTCTTCTCGTATACACACCACCTTTTAAACATCTGCTTCATTGCTTTAGGGATCTATGGCATGGGGTAAGGTCTTCAATCTTCCATTCTCATGCCCCAGCACCTTGCATAATTCTTTTGCCCCAAACTGTCCTTCTTTGTCTGTTGCAGTGGAATAGTCTGGGGTCAAACAGAAAAGTGCATGAGAGGGAGTCATCCTCACAGGTGTACAGAGCCTTTTGAGAAGTGGGGTGATCATGACTCCCATTGCAAGCATCCCCAATTTGAAGGGGTCCCTGCTGAGGTAAGAGCCCTATGGACAAGGACAGACTCCTCTTAGGAGCTGTTGTTATTATTTTACTCTTTTTCAAAAAAAGATTTATTTATTTATGCATACAAGAGCTGGGGTACAGGCCAGAGATGGGGTGTACCCCATCTTCAAAGGTGTGTATGAGAGAGGATTCACCAGAGACAGAGTGGGGAACAGAACAGGCAGACTGACTGAAATACACTGCTGAGGGGAGCAGTGGGCGAGTCAGGAGAGGTCCGCTGCAGCATCTGGGTTGCTCCCTGGCCAGCAGGGGATCGAACTTGTGCTGCAGAGGCTGCGGACTGCCTCTGTGCGGTGCTTAACTCCTGGCACCATTAGGGAGGTTCCTACTATTTTACTCTTATTATTATTACTGTTATCACTATTATTACCTCATCCATCCCTGGAGGATTTATACGTAAGGCTTCTAGCTTCATGGAGCTCCAGTATCACCTGATCAGACCAGGGAATTAGCGGTATTAATTATTAATTATCACTAATTATCAGGATTGCTTGAAGAGGAAGGATTAGTATTTATTGTATGTTGTGAGACCGTCTTCAAAGGTAATAATGAGAACCCACAGTACCTAGTAACAGTGTTTGCCATGTTCCAGGCTTGCTGCATAACACCAGTTAGCTCCCTTACACATGGCAATGACCCGTGAGGTAGATACTTCTTTTGTTTCCATTCTGAGATGAAAGGACTGGTATTCATGGAGATTAAGTAAACTGTCAAGCCCTCAAAATCAGTAACTAGTGGAACTGGAGTAAAAACCCAGGCCTTTGGGTTTGAAAGAGCGTACTCTTGAACACCGTAACATCCATAAGTTGAGCTGTGAAACCCCAATCAATTTTTGGAGGAGAAAAAAGCATTTTGAAGTATAATTGACAAATAAAATTATATGTATTTAAAGTGTACAACGTGATGATTAGATGTGCATATCCTTTGTGAAATGATTACTACAATCATGTTCATTAGCACAGCTATGGATATGGCTAACTTTTTTTTCCTTTCTTTTGCAATGAGACCACATATGACCTACTCTTAGGAAATGTCAAGTATGTTATATGGTATTACTAACCATAGTCAGGATGCTGTAAATTAGGTCCCCACATTCACTCATGTTATAACTGAGCACTTGTCCCCTTTGATCAGAATCTCCCCATTTCCTCCCCCTCACCAGCCCCTGGTTAATCACCTTCCTAATCTGTTTCTGTGAGTTCACCTTTTTTTTTATTAAAAAGCGTTCTTGAATTTGGCTTTCTTTGGTGTAATAAGAAACTGGGTTTCAGAAAACTTGAGGTGTGTCTCTGGGTGATTATTATGGATATTATGGTTTGCATTTATTGGCTCATAAAATATGTTAGATTGAGGAATAAAATGGAAGGAAAAGGTTAATTGTAGTGCCTCAAAGTGTTCTGAGCAAGATTAAAGTCTTTAAATCACATGCAGAATTAAGAATAATGACCCAGTTCAGTCTAGAAAAGGAAAAATATGTATTATTTGAATCTCCTAGAGTTAGAATTTCAAATCAGTGGGATAAAGGTTATTCATAACATTTTAGGGTAATAGGATAGCTAGTTAGGAAAACAAGCTGTATCTTTATTCCATACTTTATACTAACATATTGAGCAATGACATAAACATTAAAAAAAGAAAGAACTCATAAATGTACCCTGAGACCACATGGGAAATTTTTTTTCTAATACTGGAGTAGGAGAAGACCTCTCCAAATCAGATAAACAACATCAAAGCCAGAAAATGAAAGATAATAAATTTGAATATATGTATTCTCACCATATATATTGAAATTTGAATATATATATTCAAATTTATCTTTCCATACATCCATAGAAATATTACATACTTTGCAAAGCAAAAAGAAAAAAAAAACTCATCATAAGTAAAGACAGGTGACAAATTACTAGGTAGGAAAAATATTAACAACTCACAAAGCAAGAATTAATTTCCTAATATATAAATAATTTCTACAAATCAACAAGCAAAAGCCAAACAACCTGCTAAAAATAATGTGGAAGATAGGAACAGAATGATCACAACAATGGAGATACATTTTAAATATAAAATATATCTAAATATAAACATATAAAACATAAAAATAAAAATATAAAATATGTCTAATATAAATACGTCTAAATATAAAATGATGTCTAATGCGGTTCATAATGGAAAAATGCAAAATATAACTACACTAAGATTTTTTTTAACTTAACAGATTTGCAAAGATAAGAATTTTGCTCACTTATTATGTTTGCACTCTCATGCATTGATGCTGAGTGTGTAAATCTATACCACTGCTTATAAGGTTTACTTGGTAGTATTTTAGACTTATATAATGTTGTAAACCAATGTGCCTTCAATAAAAACTTTAAAAAAAGGAAAACTTTTATAGTGAATATGTAAAAGTTCATTGATTTTCAGAGGATTATTAGAACAACAACAACAACAAAAAAAGCCCAGAATTTACAAACAAAACCATTAAAATTCTACTTCCAGGAGTTTATTTTACAAGCAAGTTAAGTTACGTGGATTTGATTATCCATTATTGCATTGTTTAATAGAAGAAAAGATTGGAAATAAGTGTCCATTATTAGGGGACTAGTTAAATTATGGTACTTTCCTACAATGAAAAGTCTGTGCAGTCATAAAAAGAGAGGCAGTTCAGGGTACTAATGTGGACCAGGGTACTAATGTGCATATACACAACAACCTTTTGTGGTTTAATGCAGTACTATTACTTAGATACATATTCCTTCAAAAGAATTCATAAAATGATGACACTGATTGCCTCTGGGTAGCTAGAGGACAAGGATGGGAGGGAGATCTATTTTTTTTTTTGTAATCCCTTTTGTACTTTTGAATTTTGTGCCATGTACATGTACTATCTATTTTAAAATAATTTTAAGGTGACACGCCTAGCACATGTTAAAAGCACATTCCATTTGTAAAGTTAGAGGAACTTGTAAAGTATAACCACGCACCTTTGGGTATTATTTGATTAGTAGGTGTGAGGCTATAACACTTACTATCTAAAGTGGTCAACTCCCTGTCTTACATTACACATCAATTTCTCTCTTTCCCCACATCTATTACTGGAGATAAGGTACATTTGACCTATTTGGGGGTATACTTAAGGGTCAGGGGGTTGCTTTGATTGGTCTCATAATACCCCAAAGGGAAGAACATCAGTTTTGTCAACTGTTTAAATGTGTTGATATTTTTTCTTCCATAAACATGAAAGAATATACTCTCTCCACATTCTCTCCATCTGAAAATCATAAAAATGATGCATATTGTGGGAAATTTAGAAAACATAGGAAAATATTTGGAAAAAAATAAAAATTTCAGAGTTTTACAACCTAGAAGGTATATTTTTTTCCTTAATCTATCATGGATGCTTTCTTCTGTTGGCAAATATTCTTCTGAAACATTTGTTTTGAAGAAGTTGTATGATATACCATTTTTTCATAGTAAATAATAAGGCCATTTGTATGCTCATATGCTTTGCACACTTTATTTCCTTATATTCTTTCTATTCTATATTTCTTTATATTTTCAAAAAGATTTATTTATTTATGCATACAAGAACTGGGGTACAGGCCAGAGGTACAGGGGGGTGAGAGAATTCATCAGAGACAGAGTGGGGAACAGAACAGGCAGAATGACTGAAATACACTGCTGAGGGGAGCAGCAGGCAAGACAGGAGAGGTCTGCTGCACTGTGAGGGTAGCTCCCCAGCAGGCCGGGGATCGAACTCGTGCTGCAGAGGCTGTGGATAGCTTCATAGTGCTGTGCTTAACCCCTTGCACCAGTAGGGAGGCCTCTATATTCCATTTTCTAGAAGGAAAAATTTCTGGGTCACAGAAAGAATGCTTTTAAGACTCTTGAGATGAGTTGCCATTATTGCCCTGGGAAGATGCTACCAATTTGCAGTCCCACCAGCTGCACATGTAAATGTGCTCATTTCTCTGCACTCCAATTAATGGTGCACATTATTGTTTAATGTTGCTTTCCCAACTGAGAAGCCAAATGCCATCTTGTTTTAATATTCATTTTTCTGATTACTTCTGAGGCCAAAAGTTTTTCCACATTGTTATGGGTGAGGGTGGGGGGTTTTCTTTTCTAAACTAAAAGGATTCTGCACAGTAAAAGAAACTATCACTAAAAGAAAGAGACACCCTGAAAGATGGGAGAAAATATTTGCACATCATACATCTGACAAGGAGGTAATATCTAAAATCTTCAAAGAATTCACACAACTCAACAATTGACCCAATTCAAAAATGGGCAGAAGAGCTAAATACACACTTCTTCAAAGAAGACATACAAGTAGCCAACAGATGCATGAAAAAAATGCTTACCATTACTTATCAGGGAAATGCAAATCAAAGCGACAGTGAGATACCATGTCACTCCAATGAGAATGACCGAGATCAAAAAACACCAGAAATAACAAGTATTGCTGTGGGTGTGGAGAAAAAGGAACCATTGTACACTGTCGGTGGAATGTAAGCTGGTCCACTCCCTGTTGAATACATTATGTTGGCCTCTCAGAACATTAAAAGCAGATCTACCATGTGATCCAACAATTTCACGCCAAGGTATATACCCCCAAAATGCATTAGCCTCACTACTTACAATAGCCAAGTTATGGAAATGACTTAAGTGCCTAAGGACAGATGAGTGGAGTAAGAAGATGTGGTTTATAAACACAATGGAATACTACTCGGCTACAACAAAAATATGAAATTTTGTCATTGTGACAACATGGATGTAATTGGAAGGGATTATGCTAAGTGCAATAAGGAGCAAAACAACTACCAGATGATTTCACTAATATGTGGAATGTAGAGAAACAAAATAAAGGAACAGAAAAAATTAACCCAAAGTAAACCCTAGAAATCTGACTTTAGAGTTGCGACTTCCTGAGGAGAAGGGGGGATGGGGGCTAGAGAGTAAAGGGGAGAGGGCGCCCGATGGACTGTGGTGGGGGATTATGGGTGCCCAGGTGGTGCATGTGGTGTGGCGACACACAGCTGAAGAGGTGTAAACTTGTACCTCTGAATCATATACAGTGTTGTAAACCAGTGTTGGCTCAATAAAAAATAATGCATTAAAAAGACAAGTAGGGGGAAATCAGATTGTGAACAGCAGCTACAGCCATTGTGGCAAGATTAATGGATAAGAAAAGACCGTATTAGTATAGTGAGATTTCGATGATCCATTTGGCCTTTGCTCTAGGTTTTGAATGTTCTATCATTTTATAATAAGTGTTTATAAACAAGAGTTATCAGTTAACAAAAAAAATGTTGGCAAGATAGAAAGTATTTTGTGCACCTGAAAAAAGAGGTAATGGCCAAGCACCAGATTTTAAATGTTGTTACCAAGAGCTTTAGTCATGTCATGTACTTTGCCTTTTTTGCTAGTTTTATTTTTAATCATCTGCTTCTATATATGTTTTCTCTGTTGGTTTTCCAGATTAGATAAGAAGTCCTGGAAGACCATCTTAGAGTCTTAAAATGAATTTTTTATATAATTTTTATATGCAATTACCATGGGTTTTAAATCAGTGCTTAGCTCTTGCTTCCTGGTGAGACCTGTAAAATTTCAGGAAATGGCTTGCTGTTCAAGTAACAGCTTAGAAAATCAAATCATTGTCGTTTATGCCTTTCCATCTCCATCCTCAAGATGTGGTGGAATTAGTGGCTTAATAATGATACATATCAGAGAACTCAGTATTCATTGAATGAAGGAATGAACTGCCAGACAGATCAATTGTAAATGAGAGAATAATGTGTAGTCATTCTTTACTCCACCTCTGTGCAGTCTTGGGAGTGGATCCTTGCACCAGTCATTTTTTATATCTTTGGAAGGATCCTCCCATTCTATCGCTCCCAGCAGGTTGTGATTACCAAAGTAAAGAATATGCACTTCCTTTAGCTGTGATAAGTGTTCCATTCTTCCTGATTATAGAAATAAGTTGCCTTGCTGTCACTCTGAAGGGAGGAAAAAAGAACTGGGGGCTTGGGGGCAACATACTTCAATTTCTCTAAGTGCTGGGCAGAATTATGGGTTTGGCAGAAATCTTAAGCATAGGGCGGCAAGCAGGCAGCCTGGTTCAGATCTAGCCCACAGATAATTTGTTTCGCCCACACATTGATTGCTTAGAAGGTCAAATTTGTTGCTAAGATTTAAAAATCAGGATGGAGGCTTTCACATTTAAAAATGGCATTTCTGGCTTCCCCTGATGATTCAGGAAACCTGATACCCGCTGAGTCGCAGTTTGCAGTTTCACCATTATCTGGACTAAGTCACTGCTGCCCCCTTTAGAAAGGCCTTGTGCTTGCAGCTCACTGTCACTGCGCAAGCTTTACTCTCTCTATCTGCTTGCACCCGTCGCCATTTCAATCTGCCTCCTTTGCTCTCTATGCTTCATTCATAAGTTGTTATGCACCCATCCAAAGTTTTGGAATTGCAGATGAACAAGCACGGCTTCAGCATGGGAGGGGGACAATATATTTTTGTTACTTGCTGTAGTGCCAGGAAGGGTACAGGGCAGGATCTCTGTGATCCTAGCAGATGGTTAAAGGAGAGAGTCCTGGAGCCCTCAGTGGCTTTTTCAGCCTTTTATTCAGTTTACCAGGTACTGGGCAGGCAGGGGTGCTGGGGATGGGGGGCCAGGGGGCTGGCAGGCCTCCAAGCCCCTGGCAAATCTTCACTCTTCCTGGTTCTCTTTGGCTCTCTCTTTCACTCTGCTGGCATCCCTGTGACGCCGCCCTTGTAAGCACAGTCTCAGCCCAGGTGTATCCCACCTACGTATGCCCACACCCCACTCCAGGTGCCCGCCATCAGGCATGCATTCAGGACCACAGGGATCCATCATCTATCCTGATGGCGGGAGAACAGAAAAGCCTGACACTTTACTTACCCTATACTTGCCCATCAGTCTCTTCCCTGGAGAGGCATCTCTCTCCTCTGACTTCTGCTCCAGAGGAAGACTTCTTTCCCATTCATATTCCAGCAGTGGGAGACTGGATGGAAACTCTCCTAAGGGCTTTTGAACAACAGCATTCACCATGTCCCAGGGGAGTCCTCGAAAGCAAGACAGACCTGGGTGCCAAGAGACAGAAGAGAGAAAGCAATTCCTTGTTGAACTTTCTAACTCTGGTACAATAGAAAAGGATTAAAACAAACAAGTGGATATCAGCTGTGGGAACAGCTACATTTCTGGGAGGATGTTTGGTGGCAGAGGTGAGACATCACTTGCCCACTGTCTTCCATCTTCTGCAAGTACGGCCATGGATGGTCCCTTGGCACTGTCTGGGGAGACTCCCAGTCTGAAGTGGCTGTGTTGCTTGGAGAAGGGATTGAGGTTACCCCCTTCACTTCTATCTTGAAGTCCATCTGTACACATTTGGGCAGATCACAACCTCAAAGCAGGAAGGCACACTCTCGCAAGCCACTTCATCTGGTCTCGACCTGACAGACCCATTGCTCTCACGGGCTTAGTATTTTACAGTTGATAGGAGAGTAAACCCTCCTGGAGTTGGGAGAATGGGGCATCATTTCTCTCTTCCAAGGCATACACTTCTACACATTCACTATAAGAACAGGGTCTTTTTTTTCAATTTGGGGTTTAATATCATGAACCAAAGATGCCGATGTTGGATGTCTCTATCTGTAAGACAAGTTGTCAGAACATCCTTTATACTGAAGGCCCGCTGCTCTGTGGAGGTGATTTTTCGGGTCACCCTTAGACGTGAACAACAAATATTGAGTATATTTACACAATCATGTCACCACAGTGACATTGTAAAGGGCGCTATTATTAATAAGGCTATGCGCTCTCTCCATTTTAAAATCAATTTTTATTGATTTACCATTCATTTACAAAGCTGTATAATTTCGGGAGTCCAGCTACACACCCCTGCCTATGCACAGGCTTACTCGCCCACCACCAAAGCTTGTGCCACTATACCATCACATCACCCTTCCCGCTCCTTCCCCGCTTCCCTACCCATCTGTAGGGTAAGTAAAGTATCAGGCTTCTCTGCCTTCCCGCCATTAGGATGGATGATGGATCCCTGTGGTCCTGAATGCATGCCTGATGGCGGGCACCTGGAGTGGGGTGTGGGCATGCGTAGGTGGGTACACCTGGGCTGAGACTGGGCTTATAAGGGCGGCATCACGGGTTCACCAGCAGAGCACAAGAGAGAACCACCAGAAGAACAAGCGAGAGAAGCAGAGACCACGAGAGAAGGCCGGAGAGCCCAGAAAGAATGAAGACTTGCTGGGGGCCCGGGAGGCCTACCAGCCTCCCGGGCCCCCAACACCCCTGCCTGCCGTGTACCTGGTATACTCAAACACCTGAAATAGGCACCGGGGGCTCCAGGACTTCTTTACCCGGTCTGCTCGGATACTGCTCTGTACCCTTCCTGCTGTTACACCACCTCAAGTAAGTGTATCTTCTTCTAGTTAGTTGAGTTTGCAAATTTAGGGTTTTAGAAAGGTAATGCAGAATGTTGGACACTCCTGGGAAAAGGTCTCAGGCAGAAATGATTTGTACCTTTCTTAGATGCTTGCTTTAAACTGAGAAAATTTCATCTGGTGATTTTGGCAAAATAAAGGTCATGATTTTCTAATTGAGAAGAACCTTTGCTGCTCTGGCAATCCCCCAAGCAACAATGTAAGGAGACTCAGGTATCACCTTGTAGAGGCAGGAATGACCACTGAGCAGGTTTTCTAGGATCCAGCAGACCGGGTAAAGGAGGAGTCAGAGTCCTCAGTGGTTTTTTTTTTTTTTTTTTTTGCAGGTCTTTTATTGGGATTACCAGGTACACGGCAGGCAGGGGTGCTGGGAGGCTGGTAGGCCTCCCAGCCCCCAGCAAGTCTTCATTCTATCTGGGCTCTCCGGCCTTCTCTCAGCTTCTGCTCATTCTTGGCTTCTGCTGGCGTCCCCATGATGCCGCCCTTAAAAGCCCAGTCTCAGCCCAGGTGAATCCCATCTACCTATGCCCACACCCTATTCCAGGTGCCCACCATCAGGCATGCATTCAGGACAAGGATCCATCATCTATCCTGATGGCGGGAGGGCAGAAAAGCCTGATACTTGTTTACCTTACCCTATACCTCTACTACAAAACATGCAGAGAATTCAAACAATTCAAATGCATAATTTGGGGCTTTAATGAACTTTAGTTAAAGTAATGAGGCTTTGGAGTGTATTATCTACTTAAGTGACAACCCGACCTTGGTGTTTCTGGAGGAGTTTGAGACACGTTAGAGTATATAGGAAAAGCTGATGGCATGTAATCAGCCATTCCAAGGGAAAGGAGATAAGCTGATTGTGTTAGATAAATCCCCAGAAAAAGTTGGCAAGTGAAGATCAATTCTACAAACATTGGTTATCTTTTATTTTTATATATATTTTATTTTATATAATTCTTACATCATTTTTCATTTTTGCACAATCTATGCATTTTCATTTCGGTTCTAGCCCCCATACAATTCCCAACCCCCCTCATTTTGACCCTAATCCCTCCTCTCCCCCCACCCCCGTAGTGTGTCCCTGGTTCATAGTTGCTTGTTGATTTTGATTTTTTTCTTTTAGAAGCTGAGCACTAATTCTAGAAGCTTTGGAGGTTGGAGGAGAAATAGGATATGGTTATTGCCCTGAAGGAATACACATTTTAATGAGATGCATACAATCAATTCAAAGCAGAAAGATGCTCTCCATGATACAGGTATGTGGACACTGAGGGAAGAAAAGTCTATAGTCACATGGGGGTGATCAGGAAAAGCTTCATGAAGGCAGTGGTAAGAACACTTAGTGACTCAGATTCAGATGATCCTGGGTCCTAATGTTAAGTCTAACACTTTTTAGCTCTGGGACATTGACCTAGAAAACCGTGATCTTCAGATTCAAGATTCCTCATCTGTAAGATGGAGGTTATATCAGTGAATGCCTGGCTTTACTCACTTGTTAATTATTGTGTCGAGTTGACCATCGCTGAAGTTGTGAGCATGGGAGATTGCTAGGAGAGCAGCGGAGGATGAAGTATTAAGGAATGTTTACATTATGTGGGAAGGGAAAAGATGGACCAGCGAAGAAGGACAACATGAAGTGGTGCCACAAAAGGGAGGAAAAATGAGAGGCATGGTCAAAGGTGTTGGAGTAGCAGGGCCAGGAAGTACATATATAGCTTCAGGACAACCTAAGCATATTAATAGACAAAATGGGGTCCAGTAGACAGAGGTAAAATAAATATACAAAAGGGGGAGAGGACTAGGATGGGCATAATAAAAGAAGGCAAAGATAAGAGTTGACAAAGAAGTGGAGAAATGATGGGAAGGTTCCTTGTGGGTTGCTTCTGGGAGTGTAAAATGGGTGCAGCACTTTGGGAAAACTGGCAATTCCACAAAATGTTAAACGTACAGTTACCAGGTAGCCCAGCAATGTCACTCTTAAATATATAGCCCGGACAAATGAAAAAAATGTCCACACAAAACTTGCACATGAAAGTGTAAACAACCCAAGTGTCCATCAACAGATGCATAAACAAAATGTGATACAGCCACACAATGGACTATTATGCGGTTGTAAAAAAAAGGAATGAAGTACTGATATGCAACATGAATGAGCCTTGAAAACATTGTATATGAAACCAGACACCATGTTCAAAATAGGCAACTCTAGAGACAGGAGATTTGATTGTCTAGGACTGGAGGGCAGCAGTTGGGAGGAAATGAGGAATGATTGCTAATTATGTGGCATGTCTTTGGGATGATGAAAATGTTCTTGGGTTAGATAATGGCAATGGTTGCATGACTTTGGGCTGTAGAAAAAAGCACTAAATGGACATTTTCAAAAGGTGAATGTTATGGCATGTGAATTATAACTCAAGTGAAAAAGAGAAGGCACGAGAGGATCAAGAGGGTGAGAGCTAGAGGATAGTTTGATTGTCCTTGGCCAGAAGCACCATGTCTTCAGTGTGACATCTGAAGTGGGGGGAAGTGCACTGGATGACTTCAATGGCAGCTCACACATTTTGCTGTCAGGTATTTTTCAAATTGCTTTGGCATGACTTTTTTAAACTGCAGAACAACCCTATGAGGGAGATACTATTTTTATCCCCATTTTGCAGGTGGGAAAAATGAAACACAGGTGAAGAGACATGCCTGAAGTCACACACGTGGGGCAATTATCAGAGCTGGGATTTGAACCTAAATGACCTGGCTCTTAACCAGTACACAGTACTACCCATTCTGATCATCTGTTCTGATAGGAGAATAAGGCTGAGTGATGTGGACTGGAGGCACATCTGGGGCTTACCAGTAGAAAAGGGGAGAACACTACCAAAAGGCATGAACAACTCCATTTGACACAAGGTTGTTAGGCGTAGCGGAGGCCTAGCAGAGGTAGTGTCCCGTTCTTATTTGATAAACAAAGCGGCCTTGGCTGCATTCTAGCCATACTACTGTTCTATTGCAGGTGTGTGGTGGGAGTCTTAGGCGGGCCTCAGACTTTGGCAAGGAATCTGCACAAATGCTGTCACTGTTATTCCAATCTGGATCCTACGAAAGTTCAGTTTTACTTCAAGAAAATTCCTGAAATACAGGCAGCAGGATGTTATTTTGTGCTTAGTCCCTTCTTAGTATGTTCAGTAACTTACTTGGTCTGGTCAGGTTTGAGTAGCCATATATGGACAACGATGTACCTCTTAAACCTTGACTCCCTGCACTTTTTTGAATTGAATTCAACTTGGTCGTCACTGAGTTTCAGAAACCTAAGAATGCCAGAAGTCACAATAATTGCAAAGTCTTCTGGAAAAATAATTGAAAATCCTGTATGGAAGGCCATGACTGCAGCAAAGCCTGGTAACAGAGGTGAGGACAGATGCTTTCACCCCAGGGGATTTTGTTGATTCCAAGTGTTAACTATATCCTGGACTTATGCTTTATAATCCCCCTCCCTCCCACCCTCAAAGAAGATTTCTAAGTAGGATATTTTTTTAAATACAAATTTATTGAATTAATGACAAAGCATATTAGCATAAATAGTAAAACAATGAACATAAGATTACCAAGAATTCCAATCCTATATAACATTGACTATGTACATTCTTACTGTTTTTAAACATGGTCTTATCCAGTGTGAACAGCAATTTATGCCTTACTTATTTTTGCTTGTCAAAAAATGAAGGATTTTCTTCTTTGCTTAATGAGTCTTGTTACTTTATCTGCACTTTCCATTTGGAAAAGAAAATCTTGAACGTATGTTAATTACAATTGAAAGTCAGCTACATTGTCATTAGCATGTATTTTATTGGAAATAATTGTGAAAACTTGAACTCCATGTTTACATGACCTAGTCAACAGGGGTTCTTTATCATCACTTTTATTAAAGTCTAGCTTTAAAAAAAGGTATTTAGACTTCTGATAACATTTTTTGGGCTCCCACCTACCTATTCAGTAAGGACTCATTCACCTAATGATGTTAAGTAAAATGCCTTTTCTCTTATCAAAATGCTTTTTATTTCTCCCATCCACCTGGACCTAGGGTATTCACAGTCACAGTCAATCAGTAAAAGGAAAGAAGACTGGGGACTCTTAAAAAGGTGGGGGGGGAGGGCCACACTTTATTGCGCCCAAAGACAATTCACCTCATTATAGATTTTTAAGAATGTTTCCACTGAATTAGCATTATAGCACCTATTTCTCTATCATTAAGTGACCAAGAATGAATAAATAGTTGTTTCTAATTATACAGAAACCTGTATGACTTCAAGGATTAGTAAGATAGATTTTTTTCAGTCACTATGCTGAACAAAATAAAGGTAGGTCCTGAACTCACGGTACTAACAGTGTTTGATTTATTAACTGGACATCAGTAAAAAAAAAAAAAAACCACTAGTGGTTATTTCCGTAGGAATAGATTGGGATACCCCTGCTATTGCCAATTTCCCAGATTTCAATCTATTTAAATTTAATAAGGCTTTAGGAAAATGAACAATAGAACCTTGATGATATGGTTCTTATTAGACAATTGCTGACCAAATGATAATTTGATCTTCTAAGACTGATTTGGAATCTTAGTGTCCCTTGAAACTTAGGAGTTCCTAATTAGAAAGACTTCACTCTCTAACTCAATGTCTAAATATTTTGATACTTCAAGATATGACTGCTGTTAAAAACAACATATCAAGGCCTAGGATATCCCTGGAAGTAGGCAGAAAAGGTAACGATAACAAATCCAATGCGTAATCAGTATCCAAGCCTGAATTGGGGATAAGCAGGATACCCAGAAAGCTCCTCAGCTTTATCGAGCAAGTTTTACTTTTTAGGTTGTAATATGAAGTATCTTATTCAGCACACTTTTGTTGTAAATGTTCATATATCAGAGTAGAAAATCCCTCAATTTCAATGTCTCTCATGAAGTTGATTATCTTTGCATTCTTTTGCTTGACACGTAAGCAATATGCTATTACATTCTCTAAGCCCATGGCAGGCTTTTAATTCACTTGACCATAATCCTAACCCAGGGGGTAGGATTCTGAGAATATAAATAGGCTCAAGAGTAGTTCCAGTAGAACTTTACTTATTAAGGCACCTCTTAACCTCTTGAGGTTGGCCTGATGAAGAGAAAACATATTCCTCCTTAATGTCATTATGAGAGAGAGAATACAAGGCTGGGAGAGCCATAGTTAGAGCTAGTGGCACTAATTATGTTCATACCTATCTGCAATGAAGCAGGCAGGGGCAGACCTAATGGGCAATCTGTGTTCTATATTTTGGTCCTCTTAAAATAAATGAGAATATGAAAGTTTTAGGGGTTTTTATGTTTTAATTTCCCAGAATAAATTTAGTTATAGGGTAGGGATGTAGGTTAGTGATTATCTAGAAGATAGGATGAATGTATTTTGTCCATCTGATTTCCGTTTTTATTTCATCTTGAAATGTGAAAAATTAGTGGCTTTTTTAAACTTTTAAGGTTGACTACCCAGACTGAAAAGTTTTAGACCAAATAAATGTCAACAGCCTCTAGTCTTATTGATACTCTCAAACCAGCATTAATATATCTGTCTTAACTCTGAAACATGCATGCGAACAGGCCTGCTAATTGACATAAAATGCATTTTGATATTTGGATTTTTCTAACCTAAACACACTGCTCTGTTAGGCTCCTGGCTTTGTTGGCCTTCTCACCATTTTACAGCTCATGCTATTTTCTCCCAGTAGACTCAGAAGTTCTAGCAAGTTCTCAAAGGGCGGATCTTATTCCTGTTGGAAGCAAACTAAGCAAAAACCAAGTTCCAGAAAACATTGCTTCTGAGAAATCCTCAAATATCATCAAGAATAAATGGTTAACTTAAAAGGAAAAATAGAACTATGGCAATATAATATTAAAGTACAATACTGCAGTAGGGTAGAAAACACATCTAAGGTTTCACCCTCAGTGTTCAGCTTTTTAAAAGCAAAAAGGTCATGTGTTATCAATTTGCAGTATACTAAAATTGTGTCCAAAGTTTATTTCAAGTCACAGAAAATATACAAACTAAGACAATAGAATGAACTGATTTTGTTCTGAGAGAAGGTGATGGGAGTCCTCCACCTGGCACCAATTTGAATCGTTCAAGGGTTAGGATGCAGAAGTCATCTTTTTGCAATATTTCAACAAAGTTTTGGAATTAATTTCCAGACTTGTTGCCAGGTATTTTTGAAAACCTGTAGGGAAAAGTTGGGAGAAAGTCATTAGAAATGGAGATAAAATTCTCTTTTCCCCAAACATCAGGAAAAAAATTAGAAGACTGGGGGAGGGAGCTCTTAGGTGTCAGCACAGAGCACCAGGGGTAGATTCCAAGGTGTCCACCTCTTGCCTCTCTAAAGTAGTCACCCCTTACTGCAATATTCTAAACCTCAGCCCTAGATACAGTTGGGGCCATTTAACACTTTGTTATTGGGGGGGGGGGGGGTGAGTGGAGAACAGGGGATGTCCTATGCATTATAGGATGCTTAGCAGCACCTGAATGCCAGTAGCACACTATACCCTCTAAAATTGTGACAACCAAAAATGTCTCCAGACATTTCCAAATGTCCTGCAGAGGGCGGAAACTGCCACTTATCTAACGGTAATAGTATGTATATAAGCCTGCCAGTGATAGCAGAGATGGATTATAACTAGTAAGGTCACAGGATGGAGGGAAAGCCAATTTATGGCCACAGTATGCACAAATACATGTTAAAACCTTGCCTGTGTAAAACTGTACAGAACTACACACACACACCCCCCTCCCTTAGTGTAGGCTTCAAAAATGGTGAAAATGGAATAAGGCCTATAGTCTACTTAATAGTAACATACCAATGTCAATTTCTTGGTTTTGTACTACAAACTAAAAAGGCAGTGTACAACAACTTCTCAAGATGGTATCATCTGTAAAGCAATGATACCGCAATTAAAAAAATGTTATCATTTTAGGAGGCTAGGTGAAGGGTACATGAGGGTCTTTGTATTACTGGCTCAATTTCCTATGAGTTTATAATTATTTCAGAATAAAAGATTGAGCAACAAACCTTGCCCCGTGGTTAATGTGCAAGGCTTTGAAACGAACTATCTTATAAGCAAGAATACATAAGAAGATAAACTTATAAGTCACAGAATTTGGAAAACTAGGTGCTTAATTTTTTTCTTGTTGAATAAATGATAGCTAGATTAAGGAACACTTAATTTAAATATGTTAGGGCTAACTTCAGGAAAAAAAAAAAGAAAAAAGAATACATAATAAAAGAACTTTCAGGTATACTTCTACCTCCACTACCCCAATAATTTCTCTTTATTGTAGGGAATGCCTTTTCTGGTATGAATAAATTAGAGAAAGTGAAAAAGAGGAGTAGTTATTATCTAGCCCTCCGAATAGGTAGTTTATGCTTTTATTGAAAAAACAACACCTGGGTGTCTGGGCTGAAGAGTTATGCCAAAAGTCATACCAAAAGTCAAGCCAGCCATGCACCTAGGACAGCTTCCCATTAGAGTTCTGTCATTTGAAGTAAGTTGCACAAATATGATGCATATTTCCACTTTGGATGTTCTGACAGTACAATTATGGACTGAAATATATTTAGTCAAGATTGCTAAATTAGTATAAACAAAGTTCACATCATTTGCTAATATATGGATGGGGATCTGTAATTCTGATGGTATAAAAAATAGAAATTCAAAATGTGACATCCCAGCTGATATAGGGAAAATGAATTTTATTTAAACCATTTTTAGAAAACAGAATTCCTTATGAAATACAAAGCTGTAAGGGGGGAAATTTTTTTAAAAAGAAACACCAAAACATGTAATCGAATTAGGTCACACAATTACTTAGGTTCTACCTGGCTGATGAGCAAGAAAAATCAGGGCAGCAGTGTACAGCACCCTCCAAAATGTATAGAGACTGATGGTGGACATTTACTATCTTAAATTATGTGCAGTAATACTTTAACATCAAAAGATTCAATATAAAAGAAATAATGGAAATGAAAATATTTACACATTTTATTCAAATGCTTTGTATTTTCTCCATCTTAATATGACATTTTGGAAAAAAAAATAATATAAATGATTTTGGAAGGACACGCACCAAACTACATTTAGAGGTTATGTCTGGGGTATGAGACTGAGGAAGCAGAGCTGTTTACCCTGAACTTCCTACATTTCTGTATTTGATTAGTTTTTGTTAAAATGAGCATACATTGCTTTTGCCATCGGGGAAAAGATCGAAGATGATTACAAAATGATTTAACAACTGCACAAATGCTCTGCAGCCTTCTGGATCCTGATAAGGGCTGGCCACTTGAAGGGTGAAGAGTCTAGCCCAGAGGAGAGCAGGCCTCAGAGGATACTGAGATCCAGAGAGCCTTGTCACTTAAGGCTGAAAGAATATACCCCAAATGCACAGGGAGCTTGTCCCACTCTGGCGGGATAAATCTGCTCACCTTTCAGGGTGCTCCAGTGGATTTCTGTATCTGTTCCTTTAAGATCAGGATACTCTGCCTCTGCTCGGGAGGCAGCATGGCGATCTGGTCTGCAGTCAGCTGAAGAACCTGCATAATCAAAGCAGCCTGTGCAGAGGGGGGAAAAAAGGTAGTACGGTTTAATAATGGCAGCTGAAAAACACACCACCAGTTTCTGTCCAGGGGATATTTCACACAAGAAAACAGCAGGCTTCCTCAAAACAAAACCAAAAAAAAAAAACCAAAAGCAGTTGGTTAGAAAAGGTACAATGAAAAGCACAAGTACAGCAATACCCAAGATCAAAAGATTTAAAGAAGATACCTCCGTGAACCCAATGTTCTTGAAGACTAAAATGCTATCTGTGAGCCCTGGGAAGTCTTCAGCTTTTAATTCTGTTCTGAAAGTCTCTCCTTTTCATAAGTTTTAGCTTTTCCATCACCATGAGGCTCCCCACAATGGTCAAATACAGAAATAGAAAGATATACTCGTGGGGAATCTATTCTTTTTAGGGATAAGGTAGAGAGGAGAAGAAAAAAGGGACAAACAAAAAAAATCCCCACTATTGGCAGATGAGCACATATTTTCAGTTAAGAAAATCAAAAAAGAATTCAAAATTAGACTATAAAACATGACTCTGTAGGGACTTTGAAGACCCAAACCTCCCAGTAACTGTGAAGAAGACTTTAAAAGCTTTGTGCATATGGAGGCAGTAAGAGAGCCATGCTTACCTTCTCATGGTCCTGTGGAGTGACTTGGTTCTGCCCAGGACTAAAGCCACCAGGCTGGCCTCCACCCTGAATGTTTGCTCCTTGCATACCTGTTCCCTGCATGACTGGAACCTGTGTGCACAAAAGATGAAGAAAGATGCTCAGAACTTTTCACTATAGGTAACCAGAATTCAGTAATAGCAATTAAAAAAAATTGATCTGATTATGGATGTGAGTTTAAGAAAAAAAAGCAAATAAAGGAATCTGAAGATCATTTCCTACTATAGCAACAGCAGAAGGCAGAGTTAGCCAGAGATCAACTAGCAAGTCAGACACATTTGCTTACAACAGATCTAGCATCATCAATAAATACCACACAGCACAACTGGACACCATCAAATCAAGCAAAATTCAGCCATATAAGCACAAGGAAAACTGACAGCATCCTGGAAATCAGTGCTCTGTGGAAACAAGTGAAAACCGAGGGATTCGAGATAACGTATGCTGGTCTACTGGGGAAGCTACACTCACAGGGACACCACCTACCTCTGTTCAATCAGACAAAGGAGGTTCATCCCAAAGGGCCCTACCTCACAAGTAAGGCAGAGATGATCATGATTGCAGAGGCAGAAAGGAAGGCCTCTGGGGAAAAGATTGCTATTAGCCCAACATTTGCTTTTTATAAAAAACTTTCCATAGAGAATACACAACAGATACTTTCTGCTAAATACAGACCAAGAAATATGATTGAAGTGAATTAAAAAAACAAAGTGCAATTATGTCATAACTTATTGGTAGTTAAGATCTTCTGTCAGTGAGGTCAATCTTTTGGGAGACTACCAAAACCCAAGGAAAAAGCCGCAGAGCAACTAGAATAACTGTTAAAAGGTCCCTATGCTGGAGTTAAGTTCAACTCAGGCATTCACCCAGAGGTTAGGTACTCTTCTTAAAACACAAGCTGTTAACAAACTTGTTACCTGCTTTCCCAGCAGATTAGAAGCAACAAAGCACAAAAGAAGTGTGCATAAAACGTTAGGAGCAGATACCATGATAGCAATGTGAAGAGTCAGGTGACAGTCTGATGGAGAAGGAGACCAGAAACCAAAACAGGAGATAACTATGCTTTCAATTATAGCACATACAATAATGGGTGCACTTAATGATGATCTTGAATAATCAAAAACAATTACAATTATTTCCACATCCTGTTTAAGAAAGGAAGGAAGTATAATACACTATAAATTATTTTTCATCAAAATAGTTTAAAAGCTTGATAGGGTGGTTCTATTACCTGGAACATTTACTTACAAGCAATAACTAATTTCCCAAAGATACTCCATAAAGCATTGTATGCTCTGTTGAGATTGGTAGAATATTATCAGTTTCTGTTCTTATGAGTACTGCACCCACAGACTGATATCAAACTTGATGCTCTGTGACAGATTTGAAACATCTATGAGAATAACCTTTTCGAAGCTTCAGTCAATACTAATTTGAGGTACTGTAATGTGATTGAAGCACTCAATGGCCATGTTAAGTTTCTGAGCATGCCATTCTAGGCAGACAAGGAATATGAGTGACCCTATACCCAGATTTGCCAAGACAATCTCACTTTATACTTCTGTCCCAGGTACAAACAGAACTCACTTTTATTCTCTAATGTGTCTCTGTTTGTATGATAAAATTTTATAATCACCCTAGTAACAATAAACCTTGCACTGACAAGTTTCTAACTGGGTGGACTGGAGCTTATTTTAAAATCTAATTTAAAATTACAAATCAAGGATAGACTGTTAAAAAAAAAGGCACAGAACAGTGAAGGGGGAGGGGAATAAGAATATACATTGACATTTGAAAAAGTAAGAATATGTATTAAAGATACATTAAAAATCTAATTAAATTGATTATAGGAGATGAGGGTGAGAGGGAAGATGTGTACTGTGCATCTTTTATACAACAATGAAGATACTTGATATATTTATATACTTTTATATAATATTTAAGTATTAATTTAAACAACTTTATAAAGGAGTAAGACATTTTCCAGAAATGGTCTTCCAACCGTTGTTTCCAGTATCTTCCTCCAGAGAATTATCCACAGCCATTACATAAACACATCAGGTAATTATGTGTTGTCTGTCTCTTCAACTATAACAGAATGTAAGCAGAGACTTCATTTGTTCACACTGCTATATCCTCATTACCTGTAACTCTGTCAGGCACCTAGTAGGTGCTCAACAAATACTTGCTGACTGTCTGACTGAATGCACAAAAACAATTTATATTATGTGGCTACCAGAGAGGGCACAATAAAAATCAAGGCCCAGGAAACATATTTTTCAAAAAGCAAAACTTACCAAAATAGAACAGTTTACACATACTAGGAAAAAAGCACATTTAAATTTTGTATTAAAGAGGGAGAGGCAGATACCCAGACATAAACACAACACAGAGATAATGGGACAGAAATAGAGTGGAAAAAATAGTGGGTTCTATTCCTTGCTCTGCCACTTTTTAATTGTATTTGGACAAGTCACCTGAATTCTTGGGCCTATAAAATGAGAGAAGTAGATGGCTGACATATTCCATTCCAGCTCGCGTGAGTGCTCACACACTCTCTCTCATACACACTCACCACACGCACAGACTCTCATACGAGGAAAGTAAGGGGCACATAAGAATTTGGGAGAAGAAAGAAAGAATTACAATGAAGGAAGAAGACATATATAGGAAGATGGCAGGTGGAGGAGCTCAGGAAGGATACATACATACAACCAACTGGGGGTGAAGAGGAAGGTGTTGAAAACACACAATCAACCATAGACACCACATACACATAACTGGAGGGAACCCAACAGAGAAAGAAGAGACAAGAATTCAGTTGCATGGGTCTTAAGGTGAAGCATTAGTAAATTGCCTTTTATATGCCACTACTTGCCTTCAGGCTACGTGATGAAAGTAAATTAAAATAGGTTTCTATTTTACCCAAATGACTATTAATAACTCTTCATAAGCTCTAACACAATGGTTCTTATGGTTGTGCATTAGAATCACCTGGGGGAATCTTTTCAAATTATCCATGCCTTGATTCCACTGGTGTGCTCTCTATCCCCTGAATGTTCAAGAGTTCTGCTCTGAATGAAAGAGTCCCCAAAATTAGGGGGCAAGGTTGCTCTTTCGGACTATAATACTGATGGCCAGAAAAATCAATACCCTAAGGGACCGAAAAACTAAAGGAAGGGAAATACTAATCTTTCCTCTCTAATAAGCTGAGAAAATAGCCCAAATCAAAAAGCAGTAGTAGTCAGGGCTCAATAATCAATTCTTAAATAGATCAGTATGTCACATAGAAGCTATGAATGTGTTACACATACCTGTCTGGATCCCTGGGGGCCAACTGCCCCCATGTTAATTGGATTGGGACCCTGGATTCCACCAGGTATAGGCCCTCTAGGGCCAGGGACTGGGCCCCTAGGATCCATGCTTCTGGCTTCCATTCCTCTGACTTCCATAGCTCGGGCCTCCATCGCTCGAGCCTCCATCGCTCGGGCCTCCATCGCTCGGGCCTCCATTGCACGGGCCTCCAACCCTCTGGCATCTAGTCCTCTCGCTTCCATGGCTCGTGCCTCCATCCCTCGTGCATCCAGGCCTCGGGGATCTCTTCCGCCTATAAAGTAAGTTGCAAGAATACCACTGTGTATTGTGTAGCTACTCACCTTTACTGCCAAGAACCAAGAACCTTTACTGTCAAAGATAGGAATCTATTTCTCCAATCACATTTCCCCCCACCTACCTAAGACTGCTTTCTCCTCCCCACTTTCTCAGATTTGCAGATACACTTTAACAATGCTTGCCAGCCCTACTGCTCCAGCATTCTTTAGCCCAGATTAGAGACTAAGGCATCTGGATTCATCATCAGCCTACAAGTACCAACCAGCCTTACCTCTGCCATCCAAAGGTGGACCCCTCTGATCTAGCATGGGTCCTCTTGGCTCTGCCATCAGAGGCCTGGGCTCAGCTAATGGCCCTCCCCTCATCTCATGTGGGGGTGGGCCACGGCTGTCATGGCCAGGGACATGGTGCATGGGTGGACCCTGATGAGGTGGTCCCAGATAACCTCTAGATGTAGAGAAAAACATTTTATTTTCAAACAGAACAAAACAACAAAGTATCAACCAGAAGACTAGCAAGCAAAAATCAGACAAAGAACTTGTATTAAACATCACTCTATAAATGCTAACAAGAGAGTATCAAAGAAAAGCTATGGGATGTATATCCACGTATTCTAGAATTTCCTATTTGGTTGGGGCACTCATAATTTAGGAAGGATTAATGCCTATCCACTCAATACAATGATCACACAGTACAGTGCTTAAAAACATGGGTTCAAATCTAGGCTCCATCATTGATTAGCTGTGCTACCTTGGACCATTACTTAGCTTCTCTGAGCCTCAGTTTCTTCATCTGGAAAATGGGTCTACTATTAGTATCTATTTCACAGGGTTGTGTGGATTTAACAAAATAATATTCATTAACAGGGCCTCCCCAGTGGCGCAGCGGTTGAGCGCTGGGTTGTGAAGCTGCCCGCGGCCTCTGCGGTGCCGGTTCGATCCCCGGCTGCTCCCCGGCCACTGGAGGAGGGTCCCGCATGGCGCGCAGACCTCTCCTGCTGCCCGCTGCTCCCCTCAGCAGTGTGCTTCGGTCCTTCTGCCTGCTCTGCTCCCCGCTCTGGCTCTGGTGAATTCTCTCACCCTCCCGCGCTTCTGACTGTACCCAGTGCATGTATAAACAAAACAAACAAACAAACAAATAAATAAAACATGCCTCTATAAAAAAAATAATAATATTCATTAACAAAATGAAATAATGAATGAAATAGTGGATGAAATGAAATGCTCTAAATATTCAGGCACAATCCCCATTAATGTCAATTATTACTAGTAGTATGACAACTACTACTACTTCCAATAACATAAGTTTTCCTTGTTTGGGTACTTGTTCTAAAATTTTCAATTTCCAAAGATGCAGTAGTCATGGTTACCTCAAAATTACATACTCAAGTACATAGTTCTGCCTTAGAAGTGCTTAGTCTTGGACAGCAGCCATGAACATTTATCTTCTGAAGTAGGCAAACAAGTACACAGATTTTACTCTCAAAGCAAGAGAAAATTCTGATTTCCCCCATCTTTCCCTTTGATGTTAGTGATTACCTTGGCTCTACCTCTCCAGTTACAGAAAGTAAAGTGCCTCCACGTGGGTCATTCGGAGCATCTCCTAACAGACCTCGAGGAGTGGGGACGTTGGCAGGCAAGGCCCCACGCTGCATAGCTGCTCTGGGGTCTTGCATCGGCACTGACAGGGAAACAAACGGGGAGTTACTGCTGTTAAAGACACATAAGGAAATAAGAAATGACTCTCTGTACCACTGAGAACATAGTTCAGACACCTTGGAGTGGGTGAAATGTCACCACAGCAGATTCCTCTTGCAGCTCAAGAACAGAAGCAGGGTGTAGACAGAATCTGTGCCATATCAGAGGTATGGATGGAATTATACAGAGAGCACACAGGAGAGCAATCTGCCAATGACTAGCACTGCAACCTGAAGAAACTTATGCTTCTGGTTTTCCTTATAATCAATCAGTTCAAAGACTGAGTCACAAAAGAGAGGTAGGGTGTTGGCACAGCTGAACCCTGCCATGGCTCTGCAAGAACCTGCTGTCCCCTCAGACTGCTGTTCCATCCAAGTCTCCTGACACCAGTAGGCAGGGAGTACAGCCTCAGACAGATGCCCATATCATCCATGTTCTGTGACCCGTGTGAAGAGGTCAATCTTATGGCCTTAACAGGAAAAAATTAAAGAGACAAAAACCAAAGACACTACTTTTTTGGGTTCCGAATGTGAGGATGACTGCCAAGCAGCCCTTGCACTCTCAACGTCCCACCCTGATCACCATAAGCACATGGAAACTGGCAGATACAATGGGTACCTTGAACTCGCTCAATTGATGCAGGCCCGGTGGGTCCCACGGGCGAGTGCTGTAGGGTTCCTAGGTAAGCAGTAATTTCAAAAGGAGAAAGAGCAGACACTTAAAAGAGCTTGCACACACAAGCAGAAACATATACATATTGGAGAGTTACACTTGTAAGTTAGCCAAGACTTCAAGAGTTTGAGCCAGGATACAAAATCTTCCAAAATTATATTCACTTCTTTGAAATCTGAAACTGCTTCATTTTGATGCGATAGCTCCCTCAGGTGAAACTTGTGGACCACTGATTTTACTTGTTAGGAATAAGCAGCCATTTTCAGTTTTCACCTCTGCTACCATAATTTCCCCTAAACCTCCTTATGATACCATTAAATTAAAAAACACATTATAAAAAGGATAGTTTTGAATATCTAGTTAGACAAAGAACATAAACATATTTTCCTAAGCAAAAAATGCAAGAAATACTGAGAGAAGCATTGGACCTGGAAGATAAGACTTATTCTGTAGAAGCCCTTAACAGAAGTGAGGTAGTACTATTTTTGCCATATTTTAAAGCACAAAAATTTCTGCTATCAAAGATTATCAAATGGGGGAAGTAAAACTGAATGGATTTTAGACAAGGAGAGAATATATTATCCCTCAAGAAATACTCCACCATCTCCAAAGAAAAAATGCAGTGGCCAACAGGCATATGAAAAAATGTTCAACATCACTAATTATCAGAGCTATGCAAATCAAAACCAATGAGATACCACCTCACTTCAGTAAGAGTGGCCCACATTAACAAAACAGGAAACAACAAATGCTGGAGAGGATGTGGAAATTAAGGAATTCTCTTACACTGCTGGTGGGAATGTAAACTGGTCCAGCCACTATGGAAAGCTGTGTGGAGGTTCCTCAGAACACTAAAAATGGCTCTACCGTATGATCCAGTGATTCTACTCCCAGGAATCGTCCCGAAAAGACACAAAAAACACTATTTCGAAAGGAAACATGTACTCCAATGTTTCCTGCGGCACTATTTACCATAGTCGAGATATGGAAACAACCCAGATGACCCAAAACAGATGAACAGATCAAAAAGTTGTGGTATATTTATATAATGGAATATTACTCAGCAATCAAAAAAGACAAACTCATGCCATTTGCCGCAACATGGATGGAACTGGAGGGGATTATGCTAGCTGAAATTCGTCAGAACGAAAAAGATAAATACAGGATGGTCTCACTTTTATGTGGAATATAGAGAAACCAAACAAAAGGTCAAGAAAAAATTAAAACTAGTAAACTGACTGTAGAACCGAGGCATACAGTGAAGAGGGGATGTGGGGGGAATGGGAGGGATGAACACAAGGGAATATGGTGATGTCTTATGGATGATAAGGTGATGGGAGATCTATGGGGACTACAACAATGTAAGAAAAATAATAAAAAAAGAGAAATACTCTGCCACTGCAACTCTTTGATAACTAACAAATATCAGAACAATATCTAATAAAGATTAATGAGATGCCAGGTGTACCAATGCTAAACAAAAGTGGCAGAAAGCAAGAAGTATCTTCTTAAACATGTCACAGTCACTTTTCACCATTAGAAATGTGCAGAAGCAGCATGGATTCCAAGAAAAGACAGACAAATTGGGCCCAAATGAAAAGATTCTTGCTTCCTCTGCTAGCTACTGAAGAAAAATTATAAAACTCATTTCACTGTCTCTTTAGGAAGACATGCTTGATATACCTTCAAAATATAAATCATTTCCCTCATTAACTTCTTCCCAGAAAGGTAAAGAACTACAGCAGGAAGGCCTGTCAAGTATGTACTAGACAGCTGGTCACTGACTGGGGGCCTGAGGAGAGGTATAAGCACTACTGAAACCTGAATCCTTTTTCACAATTGCAGAACTACACTGTGGTACACAATGTACTGACAGCGGCCAAGGGGGTGGGCACAAAAGCACAAGCTGTTCAGATGAAGTATTTGGACAGGAGCTTGTCCTACTGTCAACCATCTGACAAGATTATTAGTTGTTGCTTCAGCAATCAAGCCCAGTGTACAAACCATAGAAAAAGCATAGCAGGTCCTTGAAAATTCTGTTTCCTTGTAACATTGATGACAAAAAAAAAAAAATTCCCAGTCAACACTGAATGAAGTGATGTTATCTGAGGACCTGGTTTCATCATATAAAGTCATATTTTTCCTAGACCCCACTGATGACATTAAGAGAGGACGTCCCTTCTAGTACACAGGTCTGTTGCTTAAATATTCTGCTTTTTAAGACAACAGATTTCACTTATAGGCCATATGCTAAGAAGAAATAACTTAAGCTTCTCTATGTCCAAAGCAGTCTTCTCTGGCCACAAGGACCTAATGAAAAATAGAAGACACTAAGGAATATTTTTGGAAGTTAACAGAAGCAGTATGGATGGACAGAGTATCGATTTTGGAACCCAAGACCTCTAAATCTTAGCTCTGCTACTTACTAGTTGGAAGAGAAATGCACACATCAAGTCCAGTGCACATTACTCAGATATCAGTCTTTACTTACCATGTCCCTTTCAGTAAGTTAACACTCAGCTTCCATCTTTTACTGTAAAACTGGGGTGCTGCCATCCAACTCACTAGGCTGTTTATGAATGTTAAAGTGGCCCACAGCATGCACAATTTTATTGTCACTTTATTCTATTATCTCACCTCCTGACATTATTTTCAAGTAAAACACTGAATTTTCTTTTTCTTCAGACTCTAATAACATGGAGAAATAATGTGGAGATTTTGGAGTGGCTGCTGCTGTGGTATCTCGTTTACTGCCACAGTACAACATACATTTACCAGGAAGGCTTCACAGACCTTTCATTCCCTCCCAGCCCATCTTACATGCTCGTTATTCAAATTCTGTACTCAGTCAACAGAGATCCATAGAGGGAGAGAGAATATGTCAACAAAACCATTAGACTATCAGGAAAAGACAATACAAATTAAACAGACATGAAGGGCCCATCTGCTTCATCATCCATTCTTACAGAGCTGGGCTCTGAATCACTAGATGGAAAGTATAGATCAGTGCTGTCTAGAAGAATTTTCTGCAATGATGGGCATTTTCTTTATATATCTGCAATGTCAAGTATGGTATCCACTAGCCACATGTGGCTACTGAGCACTTGGAATGTGCTTAGTGTGAATGAGAAACTTCAGATTTTATCTAATTTTAATTTATTTAATATTCAAATAAGCACATGTGGCTAGTGGCTGCCACATTAGAGTGCAGATAGAGAACATTTCCAAGTCCAGTCCACATCAATCAGACATTAGTATTTATTTACCTTGTCCCCGCTCCATGGGCACTGGTCCACTTCCTGGCATTCCAACCTGGGCCGGCATTCCTCCTAGAGGATAAAGGGCAAGAGAGGAAAACAAATTAAGGCAGTGGGGAAAAACTATCAAAGTGGCTGAGTTGATAAATTTTCTGCCCCACCAACAGAAACTTACAAAGGAACTACTGAACAATGCAACTAGACAGAAGATGGAGTTTCTTAGGATAATTAAGGCTTTGTGACAGAAAAGTGAGTTAAATAAGAATACTTCATCTCACTTGCTACTAAAATCTTGGCAAGAAGTCAATTGCATTTACCCACATTAAGCCTCCTCACAGGAGATAGCACACCGTTCCTGAGAAATTTTGCAAATGTGTGGGCAGACTGTTTTAGTTGTGAAGATTTGTAGGGGCATGGCTGGCATTTAATGAGAAGCTGACAGGGATACTACATGGCCTACAATGCAGAAGATAGTCCCACAAAATCAAAACTTACCCTGCCTTGCCACATTTTGAATGTCTCGCTGAACATTCATATAAATGAAACCCTATCTACAGTCATCTGTATTTAGAACCCGTCTGTTTTATTTATAAACACGGTTACTTGCCCTTTTGTTTATATGTACGCTTTTTCAGAAATGCAACTATGAAGTAAATCATGGGTATTGTATGTTGTTAAGAACCTAGCCAAGAGTTTTCACCACTTTCAAAATCACATCACCAATGCCCACAGTCCTCGTGGTATCTGAGTAGCCAAAATAACATAAGCATTTTCTGTCTACAATTGTAACTTTTAGTCATGATAAAGGTATAAGCATTTGACTGTTAGATTGTTTTCTACTGGAGTTGTCCCTGAACACTTGCATAATAAAACATTCTTAATTATAAATAATTTTCTTTTACTTCTCTTTTACTCCATATTGTAGTTAGGGTGCTATAAATAGGTTTTTAAAATCATATTAAGTAGGTTGTATCACCTGTGCATTTCACTTCAGCACAGTACAGAGCCACTGCAAAATATCTTGTTATGAAAAACAACCACAGAGTCTAACAGTGTTGAAAACCCCTGGTCTACTCTTAACTTGCCGGGGTATAATGACTGCTATACAAATAACTATGTACCACAAGTCCTCATTTGGAACTTTCCACAGAGCAATTAGTCTCTTTCCCTCAAAGGAATAACATATGCTTAAGTGGGGAGAAATGATAAGCAGAACTGCTTGCAGTTCATTAATATTTACCCAAAATATCAAGTACACATCAAATTCTCTCATTCTACTTAACATGCCAAGCACCAAAGAGTCATGGATTAGGAACCAGAACCTGAGCTAGCACTAAGAAATTGTGATTTTAAACAAGCGATTTGATAAAATAAATGTATCACCAGGCTTCCTCATTTGTAAAGAAGTTGATCTAAACCAGTGGTTCTAGCAATACAGTTCCCCAACCCAGCAGCATCTGCATCACCAGGCACTTGTTAGAACTGCAAGTTATCAGGCCCTACCTCAGACTTGATGAATTAGAAAGCCTAGGGGTTAGGGATGAGTAATTTTTTTTAATAAGGCTTAGGTGATTGTAAGCACACTAAAGTTTGAAAACCATGGGTCTACATGATTTTAAAGCTCTCTTCTAACCATAACATCCTATGATTTAGTCATACCACCCACCAAATCAGTACAAAGACTTAGGGTCTGAGGAAAGGAGTGGCAGAAGGAAGTATAAACAAAATTTCTCATAAACCATCACACATGGTACACGGGCTAGATTCCCAGAATGGAAATGGGGGATCAAAATACAGATGAATGTTTAATGTGGGACTATTTGCTTAAAAGGCTGAAGAAGGGCCTCCCCAGTGGCGCAGTGGGTTGAGCGCAGCGCTGTGAAGCTGTCTGCAGCTTCTGCAGCGCTGGTTCGATTCCCAGCCGGCGAGGGAGATTCCCACATGGCGTGGCAGACCTCTCCTGTTGCGCCCACTGCTCCTCTCAGCAGTGTATTTTGGTCATCTGCCTGTTCTGCTCCCCATTCTGCCTCTGGTGAATCCTCTCACCCTCCTGCACGTCTGGCCTGTAGCCCGGTTCTTGAATAAACAAAAAATAATCTTTAAAAAAAAAAAGGCTGAAGAATCTACCTTTCCACCAGCAGTCTATGTGTCCACTTTCCCTGCCAATATTGTGGCATCCCTCTGTGAAACTTATGCTTGTGATGTGTTTAAAGAAAGTGAAATTTCACTGTTATTTCACGTGCAATTCCCTGAATGTTATCGTTGGGCATTTGGATTTGCTCTTTCATGCAATGCCTTTTCATTTCCTTTGCCTCCTTTCCTACTAGGTTGTTCCCCCTTCTCATCAACTGTCAAAGAGATTTGTACAGGGTATCTCAAAAACCTAAGTGAAGTTTTAAGTTTTAATAAGTATAAATACAAGCTCACACACACACAAGAAAAAAAATCACTGGAAAATTTACTTATTTAAATTCCTATGCTGGGCCTCCCTGGTGGCACAGCTGGTTGAGCACTGCGCTGTGAAGCTGTCCACAGCCACTGCAGCATGGGTTCAATCCCGGCCGGTCTGCGAGAATCCCACATGGCGTGGCAGACCTCTCCTTCCTCGCCCACTGCTCCCCTCAGCAGTGTCTTCGGTCCGTCTGCCTGTTCTGCTCCCAGCTTTGTCTTTAGTGAATTCTCTCACCTTCCCACGCTTCTGACATGTACCCAGTTCTTTTATAAATAAATAAAATCTTTAAAAAAATAAATTCCTATGCTGCTTTCACTATTTCATGTATATTTTTAGGTAAAATGTACTTTTCTTTTTTTAAAGATTATTTATTTAATGTATTTATTTATACAAGCACTGGGTACAGTCAGAAGTGCGGGAGGGTGAGAGAATTCACCAGAGCCAGGGCGGGGAGCAGAGCAGGCAGAAGGACCTAAGTACACTGCTGAGGGGAGCAGCGGGTGGCAGGAGAGGTCTGCGCGCCATGCGGGACCCTCCTCCAGTGGCCGGGGAGCAGCCGGGGATTGAACCGGCGCTGCAGAGGCTGTGGGCAGCTTCGCAACCCAGCGCTCAACCACTGCGCCACCCGGGAGGCCCTAAAATGTACTTTTTGTTGTCTTTTATAAATTTTTTATTTCCTCTTAATTCAAGGATTATGTTCCTTAATTTTCCAAGTTTTTTTAGTCACCTTTATATTATTTCTCATTTTATTGGTTTAAAATAAAAAATGTGGCCTGTAAAATCTCTATATTCTAAATTGTTTTGTATTTTATGCTAAGTACGTGGTCAACTTTAAAAACTTTTTTCTCCTAAAACTCCCCTTTTCCCTAAGCCCTTCATGGTTAAGAATACTTCATCTCACTTGCTACTAAAATCTTGGCAAGAAGTCAATGCACATTAAGCCTCCTTATAGGAGATAGCACCATTCCTGAGGAATTTTGTAAACGTGTGGGTAGATTTTTGGTTGTGAATGTTTAATTCTATTCAATGTTGATTTACAACATTGTGTATGATTCAGAGGTATAGGTCAATTTTTTTAAAAGCTTCTATGGTCATGGGGGTGTGGGGAAAATGTATTCTTCTAGTCAAAAGAGATAACGTTCCCTCTAAATGTTAGTTCAAGCTTACTGATACCATTATTTCATTCCTCAATGTCATTAACTTGTATTTTGCCCACCAGCACAATAATTTTCAAAATGTGTTCCGCAGGTGACAGTGATCTACACACTGTATGACAATGTAAGTACAAAAATGGAGGACACTTAAAAAAACTTACATAGCAATTTAATACTGCTGTGACATCCAAGTGCATGACTAGTACACTTGTCTCACTAAACAGTGAGGTGTAGAACAGTTTGGGTGTTTTTCAACTGCATGTTATGAGTTGCATGCTTGTCACATGTGGCAGGACCACCCTACTTGTGATATTTTAAGCTAAGTTAGGCACCTATAACTCAAAAAATGTATAAAATATAAACTCTATTATAATATTAAAAGATAATTCAACTATACCTCTAAAGGATAAATAAGGGCCTCTCCGGTGGCGCAGTGGTTGACGCTGGGCTGCGAAGCTGCCTCGGCAGCGCCAGTTCGATCCCCGGCAGCCGGGCAAGGGTCCCACATGGCGCGCAGACCTCTCCTGCCACCCGCTGCTCCCCTCAGCAGTGTACTTCGTCCATCTGCCTGCTCTGCTCTGCTCCCCGCTCTGGCTCTGGTGAATTCTCTCACCCTCCCGTGCTTCTGACTGTACCCAGTGCTTGTATAAATAAATAAATAAATAAATCTTCTAATAAATAAATAAATAAATAAAGGATAAATAAAAATTGAGTTTGCTGAAATTTTTTTAAAATTTTCTTCTTCTAATTCTTGTCAACTTAGCTTTCTAGACTGGTTTCTCTACAAAACAGATTTTAGATCCAAATGAACACCCATGAGTAGTACCATAGTCAATCTAAATGAGATTAGGTAAAGTAACAAGAAACAAGCTCATTGTCTAAAGACATTAAATACTGATATACATGGTAGGTTCATACAGGTCATTCATATGGGGAATAGTTACTGTTGAATGACAAAAACTACAAGTGTATAAGCAATACTCCATCCATTGCCTATAAAAACACTCTCAATGAACATACAGTTGTTAAAACTTTTTTTCCTTTTGTTGTTTGGTCTGAATATATTTTATGAAATGCAGTTTTATGTCTATTAAATAAAATAATGTGATTATATATTTATGTGCTTTTTTTCATGTATTTATAAACTAACAGTTCCTACCTTTAAATAGGAGAATTCAGTCCATTCACATTTAGTAGAATAGTAACTCTACTACACTTTATTCCATTCGTTTATTCTACCTTTATTATTACAATGCCATTTCCTTGTTTCCAAATTTGCTGACTTGGTCTAGTTTCCCTTCATTCCATTTTTCCCCTCATTAATTCAGAAGTTTTGTTTTTTTTTTTTAAAGATTTATTTATTTATCCATACAAACACTGGGTACAGTCAGAAGTGTGGGAGGGTAAGAGGATTCACCAGAGTCAGAGCGGGGAATAGAACAGGCAGAATGACGAAACACACTGCTGAGGGGAGCAGCGGGCGGCAGGAGAGGTCTGCGCGCCATGTGGGACCCTCGCCTGAGGCCGGGGATCGAACCGGCATTGCAGAGGCTGCGGGCAGCTTCGCAGCCCAGCACTCAACCGCTGCGCCACCAGGGGAGGCCCTAATTGGAAAGTTTTATTGTACTTTTCCACTTTACCCTCCTTTTCCTTGTTTTAATCATCAGGCATAGAATTTGTATGTAAGAAGTTAACTATTTCCTCCACTTGGGGTATACGCTTCCTAATTATGTATTAATTCTATATCAAGATCTCATCATCACACAGTGATTTAGCTATACCATGTCATTTGCTGTAACAAAACTTAGCAAAATACCAAAAATGATGATGACTCTAAGTGAAACATACCTCCAGGAGCTAAGGAACCAGGCCCAGGCCCTGTTACAGCAGCTGGTATCTGCCCTGGTGCTGGAACTCCAGGCTGCATAGAAGCTTGCATCAGAGGAGGCGCACCATTGACATGCAATCCACCCTGACCAAGAGAAAAACCAGAGTATATAATCATGTCTTTGTGGAGACTCAACACACAAAGTCTAGGACTTCAAAAAATTCTTTAAATTGACACCTCCAAAGTCTCCCAAATATGCTTTTCTTACAGCATGTTTTAATCCACATTGGCTTTATAATACACTTTGAAAAAAAGTTGCAAAGCACACAATGAGCCTGGTTATGCAGAACATGGTTAAGATGGGCCATATTCTAAAAGCAGAGACTGACAATTCTTAGCTCTGTGGCAAGGCCATAGGTAGCACTTATTGTTGACTTCATGGCTGGGACCCGGCAATAAGGTTTTAAAAAATGTGCTTTGAACCCGAGGAGAAAAAGAGACTAGGACTTTTATTTTTTTAAAAATTAACTGTTGTTAGTTTACATTTTTATGATGAAAGTTCTCTTATTTGACAAATCTTTTCTTATCCCTGTCCTCAGATATAATTCCGGTTTGGGAGGAGTATGAATTTATTTTTAATACATTGAAGTTCTAGAAGGAAAAGTAATGCTGTCCATAAGAACTTAAAGTCCCTTGGAACATAAAGAGCTTAATAAAGAATAAAAGTTATTAAAACAAAAAAACACATATAATGTCAGAGGACACAACTAAAACTCCAAAGTAGAAAAGAGTAAACTGTATAGTGAGTTAGATAAAAGAAAACAGGATGTGAGATCAGACAAAACTAGGTTCAGGTCCTGGATTTACCATTTATAATTGTTTCTTTTGGATCCAGTTTACCCAGTTGAGCCTTAATTTATTTCCCTTCTATTTCTGAAAAAGTATGTATTGAATTAAAGCAGGGGTTAGCAAACTATGACCCATGGGCAAATCTGGATCACTGCCCACTTTCGTAAATAGATTTACTGCAAGTCAACCTTGTGCATTTACTTATATATTGTCTATGGCTGATTTTACATTCCAATGGCAGAGCTGAAACAGATCTGTCATAGGTACAGACCTCATGGCCTGCAAAGCCAGAAATTCTGACTATTTGCCAATTGTCAGAAACTGTCTGCAGATGCCTATACTATATATACCTTTGTATGTGTTCATCCAAATTATTTACCTCTGCTAATCTGATAGGTGAAAAATGATAGCTTATTGTACTTGCTGTTTAAATTTATCTTATTTTGAGGTTGAGCATTTTTTTGTATATTACATATTTGTATTTCTACCTCTGTGAACTATTTATGTTCACTGCACACTTCTTACTAGGTGAGTTGTAATTTTCTTTCTAATTCATGTCTTTTGTTATTATAAAAAATTCCAGATTGATAAATTGTATACAGAATAAAATAACTGCACAGCTTAGGAAATAAAATTATATTTATGATTATATTTTCCCATATGGTCATCCCCAATTGCATCCTGAATCCCCCACATAAGAATTCTTATAGATGTTTTCAAATTTTATGTAAATCATTACATAAATCTTTGCAATTCACTCAATACATTTTTGGGATATATGCAGACACAGATACGACATTTTGGGAATTCATTTTCACTTCTGTATGGTATTGTTTTTTGAGTAACCTGCGTTGAGACCATATATCCTAATTCATCTTTTCTGTGATACAGAATTGTTTTTGAAAGTCATTCATGTTGATACATGTAGTTTGTTTAACTGGTATAGAGTATTTCACTGAATAAACATACCACACTTTCCCCATTTTTCCACTGATAAACATTTCAGGACGCTTCCAATTTTTCACTGTTGTAACGTAGCAGCAAACATTTCTAAACTAAGGGTTCTTTATTAGGTAACCATCACAAGTATGACAAAAACTTTTTCCCAATTTTTCATTGATGTTTCTTTTTTTTTCTCCATATAGTAAATTTTCAGTTTTCAAGTCAATCTTTTATGACTTCTGGTCTTTGTGTCATGTTTGATAAAAATGGATAACAAGAGTGTCAATCTCATATAATTGCTGTATTGAATGATAATGTACATGGAATAACAAAGTGCCAACTACCATGCCACACATGCACACACACAAAATTAACTCAAAAATAGGGCGCACAGAAAGGATCTCTTTGTTATACAAACTTGGAACCAAAACTGTATTCATTCAAATGTCATGTACTCTATAAACTGGAAATCACAATTATGATCTCCAGCTCCTGACCATTCTTCTTTTGACATATCCTCCTAAAATGAAAACGACATTCTAAGAGAGATAAAAGAAATGTTATCAGAGAAAGCCCTACCAAAGACTGGGCTTGAGGGGCCTGAGGATTCTGCTGGTTCATTGCCACATTGGCTCCTGAGCCAGGCCCAGCACTGTGAACTGGTTGAGGGTTGCCTGCAATCAGCGTTGGGATATTTGTCTGGCGATGCAGAATTTTCTAAAAAATGAAAAAAATAAATCTATGAGCTGTCTGTTTTAACAAAGCAATCAGGTAGTTCCTACCCCACTCAAATTTAACCATAGCACATCTATAAAAGAACCAGAAGCACTCACCAGGGCAATCTCTGGATCCACAATTCTCATCACTACTTGTGCTTGTAGCAAAGCATAAGCCAGCTGAGGATTCTGAAGCAACATGTTCCGTGCTTCCTGGGGGCTATTCTGGACACAGAGCTGAGAAGATAAACAGATTCATCATCAGGCTCAATACTGATTACTTGGAAACTGATAGTGATTTAGAGCCAGTCCCATCTGAGAAATGTGATATTCAAGAGACTTTTAAAGCTATCATTGGTTTTGCATAGCACACAAAATCTTGGTCATGGCAGGCAAGAGAAGGAAGAGGCATTTCAAATACCATAATACCATCACTTAGGGGAAAAGCCACATTTTAATATCTACATCAGGTATCTGTGGGTCATAAAAACCCAGAGAGAATGTGTAGCTGTTTGTGCACAAAAATGGAAAGCTCTTTGCACGAAATGTAAAATACAGTGTACACACAGGGAATTTTGAAGGTATAAGAAATGGTGGTCTAAACACACCTTCTATTTGAGCCCAGGGAATCATTTCCATTAACTTGATCAATTAACTCCTTGAAAATTTGATGTGATTTGATTTATTCATCCCTAAATTCATAACTTAATGCCTCCTCCCACCTTCATTTGTTTCATCAGTTCAAACATCTGCTCTGGTGGAAGACTGGCAACTGCTTTGCTAATGGACTCAGGGGCATCCTCAGGACTGATGGTCTCTCCATAAGGTGACTCAATGACAGGGGCACCAGTGCCAAGGCCTGATTGGGAAGAAAGTACAAAAAAGTTAAGGAGGCAAATAATGAGCTAAACCATCTCAAGTATAGCAGGTCCTCGAACAATGTCATTTTGTTCAACGTTGCAGTTTCCAAGAACCTTTCCAAGAACGTCAAGTGAGGACTTATTGTATCCATTTTCCAGGGCTGTAAGAACCAGTTGATAACTTTAAATTCTCTGAAGCTGAGAAATAAGTAATTTGAAAGTTTCTTATTTCTGTGGGGGAAAGTGTCCGAGTGTATTTTCCACTCCCAAGGAAAGCTAGGACCAGGCTTACACAGGAGGACATTGTTAACCTAATCAGGAAGTAGGCATACTAATTTCCTTTGACAAGTCATTTCAGAAGCAAAAGGCACAGAAAAAGATGCCAATTCTAAAATGGAATTCCAGGACCTCTTGCCTCATGAAAAAAGTCTTAAGAATGCTTTAGTACCCTACACTCCTCCACCAGCTACAGAAGATCTGGCAACAGTGGAAAATACTGGTAAACACAACTGGCATAGTTCACACTACTAATGGCCTGCTGAGCCTGGATTCATTTTCAACTGGAAATCAACTCCTTACAAACTGAAAGACTTCTAAAGTCAACTTTACCCTGCTTCTCAAAGATATACTTCCCTAACACAGGTATCTCAAGTTGGTTAATTAAAGAAGCAATGTGGCTAACCATTTCAGCAGATGCTAAAACTTGTCATAAGTGGACAATCTTCAATGTTACATCTTTACTAACTCATGGTGCATACAACTTGGGTTTATACTCACTCTTCAGCTCTTCTTTGTTCTTTTCACTGGCAGCATTGTCCACTCGAAGTGCTCTCCCGCTGAATTCACGGCCATTCAGGTTTCGCATGGCACTAAGTGCAGTCTCTTGGTCTTGGTATTCACAGAAGCCATAACCCTTTGGCTTTCCTGTCTCCCTATCATACACCAATCTGGAGAGTAGAACCAAGTATCAGACACAAAGTTACATACACACAGGGTTCTGTGAACACTGGCATACTCTAACTTGGTCCACTGTGAGACAAATAACGGTATCACTCTGCCTCACTGAAATTCTATTTTAAGTCATGTTTAAATAAAAAAAAAACACCTTATAGTAAAAATGGTTATGAGTGGTTTGGTATGCAAATTATCTCAACACAGCCATTACAAACAAGAAGGATGCATGTGAAAAGTCACTAGTAAAAACCTTGCATTAACATTAGGGCCAAATAGGTGGTGATTTTTAAGAAACTACCACCAAGAAGTGTAAGAGGCTCTCACCTGAAACTAACAACAGGTCCAACCTCAGAAAAGATGTCCTTTAACTGCTCTTCAGTAGCTTCATAAGGAATGTTTCCCACTAAGGAAGAAAATATTTAACATTAAAATTCTGAGTTCACAACCTAGATCTTCCTAGTGAGAAAGTAAACAGTTCATTCTATCAACTCATATCAATAATGATGTAACAATTGGCTCAAATTAAGTGTTCCTCAACCACAGCACCATTAATACTCCCATAGACAAGATTTAAGTCTTGTCTGCTGAAGACCCGAACTACAAAAGAAATAAACCACTGAGCCTAAATAAAAATGATGTAGGCACCCCTAAATATTACTTTTCTGGTTGATCTGAAGAGTATTAGATTTACCTTAACTTTGGGGAAAATACTTTAACAGTAGAATTTACTCAAGGTCTGCAAAGTCTGTCTGTCTCTCTCTCTCTCTCTCTCTCTCTCACACCCCAAAATTATAATTTTTAAAACCAGGTCACACATCTGTATTTCTATACATATACATACTCAATGGAGAATGACCATGAATGTAGTGGAGGAAGCTTACAAATTACTCCCAGCTGTTGTCATGTCCCTTTCAAAGGGTGCTTTAAAATCACCACACACACTTTAAAAACACAGCTTATTTCGGCTGAAAAGATGACACAGAATAGACTCGAGCCTCTTTAAAATTTCTTTGACAAGGTCTTAACCGTCCATTCATTTGTATTTATTTAGAATCCACCTTAAGACTCCAGGTGACCGTTACCACGATCGTCGAACTAAAACGTTACAGATAAAAATAGAGTACTACAAGTGCTTATGAGAGGGCGGGAAATGGTGACAGGGATGGTTATACCCTTAGCACACAATCTGTATTCCGGGATGGGGGCAAGAAGTAGTACCGGAGAGTTGCCACACGTCCTCACTTCTACATAATAATTGAAGCTCACGAAAGGAGAAACTCAAAGACGCTGAACTCTAGCTTAACTTCCTCATCCACACCGTGGAAAGGCTGTGAGACCTCGGGAAGAGGGGTGCATCACTTTGCCCCCGAGTTCACCAGGTTGGCCGCCCCAGAGCAGAGGGAGGCAGAGTTGAACGCCCGCTCCATCACCGGCTCCCACGCGACTCGTGAGACACAAAAGGCGTTTCTCGCCGGACCCCGCCTCTTTCAGTCCCTCCCCGATGCTTGGCTCCACCGCGTTCTTCTCACCGAAAACAGATCGTAGAGACCGATCCACCGCAGGGTCTCTCACAGTCAAACCCGCCATCGCTCTTTTCCGGCGGCTTCCGGTGCGCCCCACTACACTTCCGTGTGGCGCGTGAGCCCGGCGCCAACACGCTTCGTGACGACGCGTGAGCCGGAAGTGCCAGGGCCGGACGGACGCACGGCCCCGCCCCCGGCGTCCTTCCGTTAGTGGAGGCGCGCATTCGAGTCCCGAGGGCCCTCTACCCCTGCATTTGGGGCCGCCGCCTGAAAATAACTCACTTCCCAGCCGGATTCGGGCGGGCCAGGCCGACTCGGAAGACTTTTAGTTGGAAGAATTCCTTATAGCTCATTCGCTTTTCGGCTAACGCAAGGAATCGTCGACCACAATAAAGATGGCGGCAGCGGCTTTATCGCGGTAACAGGGAAGTCGTTTGCCAACACCGGGACGCCTGCGTTTTAATTCCGCCCGGTTAAGGGAGGGCAATTCTTGGCCCCTCCCCAGCAGCGTGCAAGTTACCATTTTGCTTGAGCTGCGAGTGTGCGGAAAGAGTAGGAGCAGCCTAGGAAATAAGAGTGAGGGGTGGTCAATGTCAAGGTGCCAACATTGCTGAGAGATAGGGAGGTAAAAGGAGAACAGCCCCTGTCTACCCCCCTGTAGCCCCTCGGTTCCAGGTGCTTGGTGGTGGTGAGGGGGTGGCCTGGCCGAGGACCTTGCCGAGCAGGGTATCAGAAAATATCTTTGATCGGTGGTACACGACAGTCAGCTGAGGCACAGTTTGAACTTAACGTTTCTCCGACTCCAGAGACTGACAGCCAAACCGCTGTATCTAATGCCTTCCAGTATAAGTGAGACGATATGGATGGATGAACATATTTGATTATCAATTTTTGGAAAAGAACTTAGAGCATGTGACAAGGTAACTGTGGGTCAGTGAATCTGTTATAGGACAGGGAGAGGGGCTGCCCAAACCCCGCAAACATGCCTATTGTCTATTCTAAATGGGTTCTGCCATCCGCCGCATCAACACAAAACATATGAGACTTTAATGGGAAGGAACTTTAATAAAAACTAGGAAACAATATAGGTAAGGCAAAGAGTCTAGTTTCTAAATGAAGCACCCAAAGTTACCCGTCCCCTCGTGGGTAAAACTCCATCCATATGGGATCGGCCCAGAGCAAGGCCCCAAAGCCTGCCACAAGTCTAAAGTATCTTCCAGTGGGGACCCACAGAAAAGAGTCAGAAACAACCAAACAAGCCCGGAAGGAAAAGAGCAAAATCAACATCAAGATAAAAGCTGCCATTGTCACCTCCCCATGGGTCTCACCCACATCTGTGTCACCCGGTCCACGACCAAAAGACAAGCGCAGCTTCTTCACGTGTCTCTAGGCGCCATCCTGCCTCCTTCCTCAGTCTCTTCTGCAGCTTTTCCTCTTCCTGCTCAGCTCCACCCTTCCTTGGGTGGGGCAGGGAACCTGGAACCTCCCCCTTTCCTGGGGACCACCCTGTTACAGTTCTTCATAATGAAACACCCAGGAATACCTTGATACACTAGGTAGGGCTCGTTTTGCTGCCATCAATCATCTGTAAAGAATGAACTGTTTATTCTATCACTTCATCAACCAGTTTTGCTCTACTGGTTATAAAAGAGGAGGTGTGAGCCAAGGGATGATTTCTAAGCTTTTCTTTTTTTAATTGTTCGTTTCACTTATGTGCTTGTGACCGCTGCCTCAGTGCCTGTTGTCCATGAGAATCTTTTCCCATCACTGTGGCGCTCCCAGAGTGACAGCATTTCTTTTGCCTCCAGGTTATAGCAAAGTGAAGACGGAAGGTGGGACATCTGATGCTGTTGTAAGTGTTATTAATGAGCCTCAACAAGATATATGCAGTGTGAAGAGGTAGGGGGAAACTAAGGAGGATGCATTTCTACATAAATGGGACGAAATATACAGGATAAATGTTTCAGAGACTCTGAGTAGAAGAGAAATAGTACATGGTGGAGAATTTAAGAATTTGGGAAGCCGCAATTAATATTTGTGAGTGTAGTGGCAGGATAGGCACAGGACAGGGTATCTATGATCCGGCAGACGGGTAAAGGAGGAGTCCTGGAGTCCTAGGTGGCTTTAACAGGCTTTTATTGAGCTTTACATGTAGCGTGGCAACCAGGTACACAGCAGGCGGGGGTGCCAGAAGGCCGGAAGTCCTCCAAGCCCCCAGCAAGTCTTCACTCTGGGCTTCTCTGGCTTCTTTCTCCCCTTATCTCTCCTGCTTCTCTCCTGCTTCTGCTTCTCTTGGTGACTCTGTCTATACTCCTCCCATGGCCCACAGAAGTAAACAACACAACAATGTAACAACTGCAGGTGCCCCATCAGGCAGGGAAATCCTAATGGTGGGAGGGCAGAAAAGCCTGAAAACCATTTACCCTACGCTGGGGCATTGGCAGAACATTATGTGGGAAAGTCCCAAATTCTTATCCAGTCTGGTTTATGACAGTAAAAATCTTGAATAAGGTATGAAGCAAGCAATGACTTCAAGATTGTGAGCGCACAAACACTCAGGGTTTTTCTCATGGCCATAGAAGTTAAAACTTCCAAGGCCAGGGTAACTAGTACATCACAGTTGACCTATATTTAAAGCTCCTCAAAGAGTCATGGAATGAAATCCTTCAGTGGTCCTGCAGGGAATATCTGAAAATGCAGTAACTCCTGAACAGACATCATTGCTTGGTAAAGATTCCAGATGACACTGTAGCATTACCATGTTAGGAGAAACCCTCAGTGAGCAGTACTTGCAAAAGTTAAGGAAACTTGGGGCCTTCACAGAGCACCTGAATGCTCACACAGAGATCCTTGTCAGTATCTGAATCTAGGTACCAATTGACTAGCTTTCCAGAAAGAAGACATCCTTCCTAAGTTTTGTACTGCTAAATTATCAAACTGGTTCTGCAACAATGTGTATACTTTCTGGGAAAATTTGAGACTTCAGCCCTGAGGCTACCTTACAAATACTTTTCCAAGCCATCATAGCTGATTATTCTGATCTTTTGATTTCAGCATTTTCATTTTTTTATTTCTTCCCTAACTACTTCTCTTTCAATGCATGCTCAATGAATCAGTTTATTTCCCTCATTCCTTTCCCAGAAACCTGTTTCTTCAAGGTCCTTCCATGTTGTACCACATGTAAGAATTTCCTTTTTTTTTTTAAGCTTGATATAATAGACCATGTGTAAGAATTTCCTTCCTTTTTAAGGCTCAGTTTCTTTCCTTCCTTTTTAAGGTCAGTATATACCACATTTGTTTATTCATTCATCCATTGATGGACACTGGATTGCTTTCACCTTTTCCATTTTGTGAATAATGCTGCAGTGAACATGGGTGTGCAAATGTCGTTTGAGTCCCTGCTTTCATTTATTTTGGGTTTATACCCAGATGTGGAATTGCTGAATCATGTGATAATTCTGTGTTTAAAATTTTTGTGAGACCACCATACCATTTTCCACAGGGACTGTACCACTTTACATCCCCACCAGTGATGTACAAGGGCTCCCATTTCTCCGTATTCTCACCAGCATTTGTTATTTCCTGTGCTTTTTGGATAATAGCTACCCTGGTGGGTGTGAAATAGTAGTCTATTGTCGTTTCAACTTGCATATATTGGAAAAACCTACCCTTCTCTTCTGTGTCTCCTTACATTCAGACAAAACATGGAAAGACCTACCTTTCTCTTCTATGTCTCCTTACATTCAGACAAAACACTTCATTTCTGATACTTCTGGTCCCTAAGTGTGTGTGTGTGTGTTTCCCCCTACAACAAGCAATTCTCTGTGACACCAGCTGGATGTCCTACATTTTAACTGAATTCTGTCTGCCTGGATATAGTATTGGATCCCACAGGTTCAGGGTTCAGTTCCATAAAACTGCCCCAGCCTCATTTTAGCCAGTCCTGAGTCCAGGTTATCACCTGTGCTTTTGACCAATTGACTATAAATCAGGTTCCAACAACCCCCCTCAGGTTGAATTAATTTGCTGCAATGACTCACAGATTTCAGGAAAGCAGTAATTTCGTTTACCATTTTATTAAAGGATATGATAAAGAATGTAGATGAATAGCCAGATGAGGAAATACATAGGGTAAGGTCTGGGAGCGTCCTGAGGGCAGGAGCTTCTTTTCCTGTGGAGTTGGTTGGGGTATGTCACCATCCTGGTACATGGAAGTGTTGACTCACCTAGAAGACCTTCAGACCCCCCTAATTTTGGAATCTTTTCGGAGACTTCATATGGGTTTGATCAATCATTAACTCCATTTCCAACCCTTTTCCCCTCTCTAGATGATGGTGGGATTTGGCTGAAAATTCCAAGCTTCTGATCATTACTTAATCTTTCTGACCAGACCCCATACAGGAGTCCACTCAAGTCACCTCATGAGAACTGATGCTCCTAGCGCCCTTATCACTTAGCAAATTACAAGGGTTTTGGGAGCTCTGCCAGGAAATAGTGACAGACATATATGTGTGTATGTATGTTATATACATGTTAATATTTTTTCTATTTTCTCACACCTAATGGTTAGTGATGTTGAGCATCTTTTCATGTGCTTATAGATCTTAGTCTATCTTCTCTGGAGAAACATGAAGTCCTTCTATTTTTAAAATCATGTTTGGGATTTTTATATTGTTGATTTTTAGTTTTTAATGTTCTGGATATTAATTCCTTATCACATATATGATTTACACATTGTTTTTTCCATTTTGTGGGTTTTTCACTTTGTTACAGTGTTCTTTGATGCACAAAGGTTTTTAATTTTGATGAAATCTAACTTACCAATTTTTTCATTTGTTGCTTCTGCACTTGGTGTCATATCCAAGAAATATCTGCCAAATCCAGTGACATAAAACTTTATCCTGTGTTGTTTTTTTTTCCTAAGAGTTTTATAGGTTGAGCTCTTACATTTAGGATTTGGATCCAGTTTGAGTTCATTTGTGTATATGGTGTAAGTTAAGGATCTGGCTTCATTCTTTTACTTGTTTTTTCCAGGACCATTTGCTGAAAAGGTGTTCTTTCCCTATTGAATGGTCTTGGCACCCTCGTGAAAAGTCATTTGACCATATATATGAGGGTTGATTTCTAGGTTCTCTATT